TTCCCTGGAGACCCTTCTTCTACAGCTCTCGATCCTCCTGCTCCAACTGGAATGGACACCTTTACCCAGCTGCCCAGCTGCCATTCCAGAACCACCTTGGTCATTCTTCTGAGGTTGAGTCCTTGTTTCCTGGATATTTTGCCTTCCTCTTTCTTGGTTTACAGCTCTGTTTTGTTGAAGCATATCCTCCAGTGATGGTCTAAGAAAGGTTGCATGGTATGCAAATTTATTTACTCCTTGCTTATCTGGAAATATTATTTTAGCCTCACACTTGATTGAGGGTTTGGTTGCATACTGAAACCTAGGCTGAAACTCACCTTTGCTCAAAAACTTGAAAATGTTGATGTGTTATCTTCTAGCTTGCAGTGATGCCGATGGAAAATATCCCCCTACACACACCCTCAGAACTTTTAAGATTTTTTATTTCTAGGGTTGTGAAATTTCATGATAATGTGTGGGGCTTTTAAAATTCAATTTACTAACTCAGAATGTGGAGACTCATGTCTTTCAGTTCTGGGAAAGTTTCTTGAACTATTTTTTTTTTTTAAATAATGTTCCCCACCCCCTACCATTTTCTCTAGTCTTTGTTTCTGAAACTCATGTTAGTCACATGTTGGAGCTGGGTTGAAACTCTAATTTTCTTATCTTTTCTCTCTTTTTTCCTGTCTTTTTGGTCTGCTTTCTTGGAGATTTTTAACCATCTTCAACTCTTGGTTTATTTTTTCATTGGAACCCTGGTAGCATAATGGTTAAGCGCTCGACTGCTAACCAAAGTGAGCAGTTCGAATTCACCAGCCCCTCCTTGGAAACCCTATGGGGTGGTTCTACTGTGTCCTATAGGGTCACTATGAGTCAGAATTCACTCAGTGGCAAGGGGTTTGGTTTGTTTTTTTTTAGTTCTCTTATTTTGTTCCTTTTTCAAAACATCCTTTTCTTGTTTTATACATGCAATATCTTCTTTATTTCTCAGAGAAATATCCAGGAGTCAGGCATTAAAAAGCTGACTGAAAGCTGTGTGTTTGATTGCACTTGTTGGTCAGCTGAGGCCATCACTGCAGGGTGTTAGGGAGGCACCCAACCTTTGCACTGGAGGCATCCCTATGGGGTTATTCAACTGCTCCCTAGATGGATCCTCCTATCTCCCGCCTGGGGTATAAACCTGAAGTCCCTCCCCTAGTTTCAGCCCCTTACCTCTCCCCCACCCTCCATTGTACTCAGGTCCCGGAGTTAGGAATCTTCCTGTTCAGATGCTCCAGGGAGTACATTTCCCGTTTCCTACAGTGAGGCTGGGGGAAGGGAAGAGAGGAAACGTAGGAGTTGTCTTGGCTGGGCTCCCTAGAAGCACAGCCTCAGAGGAAATGGGGGTTCTTGTGAAAGTGATTTATTGAGGGCGTGAGGAAAGCAGGGGAACAAAGTTAAGTGAGAACGTGGTCTCAACTAGAGGCTGATCCACCTTGATACAGAGGGTGCTCTGGAACACAAATCACACCAAGAAGTCAGTCCCACTTTGAGGGTGGGGAAGGTGAGGGGCTGGAAGTGGAGGGACGGAGGGATTGCAAGATGCAACTTCTCAGCTGAGGTGACTCCCTTTCAGCAGAGGGCAGTCAGCTGAGAAGGGCACAGCTGTGAGCCCTCAGCCAAACTCACAGCAGCTGGGGAGTTGGGTGTATCAGCCTGCAAGGGGGGTCTGGGTGGGTCTTCAACAGCATTCCCTCCAGAGGTCAACCTCACTGTCTGCAAATTTCCAAGCAAGCCCCCTGACTGTAGCCCCAAGCCTCACCCTGCCTTCCATATGCCTGACCAGAACACTTGCATTAGACTCTGACATGAGCAACATGTTTATTGTGTCAAGTCATGGGGATTTGGAGGTTTATCTGTTATAGCAGGTAGCATTCCCTTAACTAATGCCAATTTCATTTTTAATGGAAGAATGATCAAATGGATGAATCTTGGGCCTATTTTCTCCCAGGGAACTTGAAGTATTTGGAGGACAGGACGTTTGCTTTCTTCCTGATCCCAAAGTCCCTGGCCTTCCTCCACACCTACTGAAATGTACAAAGATTGTATCATAGCAATGAACTAACACCAAATCTGGATTTGTACTATCTATATCTGAGGAGCCCTGGTGGCACAGTTGTTAAGTGCTCAGCTGCTAACCAAAAGTCCAGAGGTTCAAACAAACCAGCTGCTCCACGGGAGAAAGATGTGTCCGTCTGCTTCCATAAAGATCTACAGCCTTAGAAGCCCAATGGGGCAGTTCTACTCTGTCCTGCAGGGTCACCATGAGTTGGAATTGACTCAACGGCAACAATTTTTTTTTCTTTTTTAATCTACATCTAACATATGTACCTACACAATTAGTTTCTGTGATTATATGATTGGTTTGATTCCGCCACCAGACTGGAAGTGGCCCTGCCCCAGGGTAGAGGTGTCACTGAGATGTACCAGGCAGCTGAGTCACCCACCGGGAGCCCTAGTCTCCTCTGAGGCTGCAGACGCCCTATTATCACAAGCAGAAATTATGCAAGGGTGACCTCTACTGACCAAAGGAAGAAACTGCAGTTGCATGCTGCCTCTCCTTCCTAGTACAACGAAAAGACCAACAACATAGTCTTTGCTATCTGCCAGGCACTTCACACATATTATGCCACTTAACCTTGCATTTGTAATATCTACATCTACAAGGCAGGCATCATCACCCCCACTTTACAGCTGAGGAAAATGAGGTTCAGAGAAGGGAACTGACTTGTCTGAGTTCCCATGGCATAAGAGGGATCGCTGTGATTCAACCTGGGTATGTCTGACGCCTCTCTAGTCTCACCCCTGCTGCTCTCCCACCCCCCAGGTGATGCTCCAGCTATATGGCCACTTTTCAGTTCCTCCCACCTCTGGGCCTTTGTACATGCAGTTCCCACTGCCTGGGATGTTCCTCCTACCTCTCTTCACTTAGTTAATTCCTACTCCATAATTTAGGGGCCAGTTCGAACGTCACTTCCTCCAGGAAGCCTTCCTTGACTCCCCAGACAAGCTCCAGGCCCCCAGGTATTCTATTTTCCCTTCTTGGCACTTAGCACAACTTTCAAGTATGTACTTGTGTAACCACTTGCTTAGTTAGCGTCAGTCTTCCCCACTAGCCTGGGAGCAGAGCTGGTGTGGGTTTTGCTGCTTCTGGCCAGCACTGAGCACAGCAACTGGCTCCACAGGCAGGACAGTCAGGGCCTGCTCGGCACAGGCCTCTGGGAAGACGGAGTGGTGGGTGCTCACCAGCTTGACGCTCACCCCGAGATTTGCGGTCAGTAGGCCCATGCAGCACAGGGCTCCAACTGCAGAGGCCACAGTGGTGCAGGGAGGCATGCTGCAGCCTGAGCCGAGGCAGAGGCAGCGGGGCTGGAGACCAAGACAAGTTCCTAGTATGTGGCGACGGGCTGGGACTCTGTGAACCCCTGGTGAGCTGTGGAAGGAAAGGGGGTATCAGGAACCACTGCAGGCCTCCAGTTTGGTAAAGGGAGTGTGGTAGTGCCCATCCCTGAGACAGGCCACAGGTGGTATCTTAGGCTGGGTTCTCTAGAAAAGCAAAACCAGTAAAGCATATAATTATCTCTATAGAGAGATTTGTATCAAGGAAATGGCTCACGTGGTTGTAGAGGCTGGAATGTCCCGAGTCCGTGGGTCACGCTGGAGGCCTCTCCTGATTCACATAGCTGCAGGGGCTGGTAAACCCAAGATCAGGTCAGACAACAGGGTTCTGGCTCACAGGCTAGGAAGACTGATGAATCCCAAGATCAGCAGGCAAGATAGCATGGGAGCTGCTAGCTCAAGTCCCAAGAATCAGAGGTCAGATGAACAGGAGCGAGCTGCAGAATCCAGAGCGAGCAAAAGCCCATGAGCCTTGCCAGAAAGTCCACCTTGCAGGCCACACCCCCAAGGAAGCTCCTTTTCAACTGACTGGCTACTCAGAGCAGATCTCATCATAGAGGTGATCACATCAATACACAACTGCCAAACTATATCATTAACTGCCAAACCGCTGAGAATCATGGCCCAGCCAAGCTGACACGCAACCTTAACCATCACAGGGGGTGATGCCAAAAGGCTGTACTCCACTTGCCCACTCCTACCCGGACCTTCCCGCTCCCATCAGTGGCCTGGACCCTGTCTCCAGCACCAGACAAAGGCCACACAGCTCAGCAGCCCAAGCTCCTTTTATTAACCATCATCCCTTCTCCAAGTTGTACAAAAAGACAAAACAAAACAAAACAAAAACACAGTAAAATACCCTGACAGGGAGGGTAGGGGAGGAAATGGTGAGGGTACTCCTGAGGTTAGGAGATTCCAGCTCCTTTTCCCAAATGGCCCTGCTCTGGGTGGCAGTGACTCCCCTTACATCCTCCCGCTGCCCCTGCCCCCCGACCCTGAAATACAGCATTTGGTGGCTGTGCAGTCTAATCTTGTCAGGGCTGGGGGCTGGCAGGGCTTGGTGCTGTGCAGGAGGCTGAGAGAGAACTGCAGGAGTGGGTCTGGCCCAGGGCAGAGAGAGGCAGGTTCCAGCAGGGGATGGAGAAAAGGCAGGCCATCTAGTCTGGGGACTGGGCAGAAGCCTAGCTGACCTCTGACTGCCTCCACTCCTTCTTACAGCTGACTGCCCTGAGTGGTGGGCTGCTGGGGGCTGCCCCCCTCGCCTCCAGTACAGAGGTTTTGGGCAAGAAAGGCCAAGGAAATGATAGGCATTCCAGGTGGAAGAAGCCTGACTCAGTACCTGGGATTGACCAAAGTGCTCAGTACCTAGGCAGCTGAGGGGCCAAGGTCAGTCAGGATGGGAATATGGAAGGAGAGAACAGAGTCCCTCCTCATCCTACCTGGGACAATTCAGGTGTGACCTCAGTGATGCTGAGGAAGCTGATGAGATAGGGTTTGGCATCCATCCCCAACTTACGTGAGTGGGAGAGACTGAGTTACACAGAGAAACAAGGGCAAGGCATAGAGAAGCGATGTGAGGACGGGGGATGGGGTGAAACTTCCAGGATGGAGTGACTGGACTTAAACGGTGACCCCTGTTGGTGACAACTGCCCTTTTTCTCTCTGGGCTATCATGCTGGGGTTGGCTATGGATGGGAGCGGAGGAAGAGGAGCAATCATTGAGATCAGACAGGTTCCCCTTGATCCTGGCCAGCCCAGCCTGCGTGCAGAGCCTGCAGCCTTCAAAATTGGATGAAGGAACATAAAGGCTCCCAGCCTTCTCCATCACCCATCGTTTTACCTCTGAAAAGATGGGTCCACGTGGAATCTGAGAGAAAAGCAGACCCCCATGGGGAAAGCTAACGGAGGAGTCCTCACAGCACCGTGGCACAGTATGGCCCTAGCTTCAGAGCTGGGCTGGCAGTGTTTGTAAACATTAGACATGATAGTGTCCTGGGAGTGGAGGAGAGGGATGCCCGCCTGGACCATCAGATTTGAGGAAAGAGACAGGGTGAGGCCCCAAAAGGCCTGGGAGATGTCCACTAGCCATGGGAAAGATGTCTACCAGGCTCACTGTGGGTCCAGCCGTCTCTGTTGCCTCTGGAGCAGGCACTGAGCCTGGGGGTACTGAGCATAGCCCTACTCAGGACAGGTGCTCCAGAGGGAAGTCAGCCTGGGTCCTTTGTTCCAAGACCTACTGTCCCTCTTCACTCATGGGTTCCAGGCATGGAGAAGTCGAGAGTTGGGGGAGGGGGAAGGGTTCCTCTGTGATGCAAGACCCCCTCCCACCAACCATGGCGCTGCCAGGAGTGGGGAGCTGGAAAGGAGCTGGGTTTGCGTTGTCCAGAGGTGTGGGCCCTCCTTTCATCCAGAACCGTCCCTGGAAGAGGAGGTCTGGATGCCATCCCGCCAGTCCAGGGGAATGACACCAGACTCAGGGTGGCCCCACAGGTCTAAGAGATGGGTCCCTGGCAAAGGCTGTATCTTTTTCGGGAGGCAGTTGTTAGGCCAAGAGATCCACGAAGATGGCGTTGGCTGTGGTCTGGCCGAAGATGAAGGCTCCCAGGGTGACCAAGAGGACTCCGTAACTGACCAGCACCCACCAGCTGTAGGGCAGAAGGCAAGAGAGGCCTGGTCAGTCATCCCATCCCATGACTCTGCAGGCTCCAATATATCGGTTAATTAACGTAATTACTTATACTCTTTTTCCTGTTTATAGAGTACTTCCTACCTTCCCAAGGACTTTCCATTCAAATATAAGCGGGGCTGGCGGGGTGTATTATCCCCATTGTTGTTGCTGGTTGCTGTCAACTCATAGTGACCCCACATGTGCAGAGAAGAACTGCTCCATAGGGTTTTTGAGGCTGTGATCTTTCGGAAGCAGATCAATAGGGCTGTCTTCTGAGGTGCCTCTAAAGTGGGTCTGAAGTGCCAACCTTTTGGCTAGGTGGAGCGCTTAACCGTCTGTGCCACCCAGGGACTCCTTGTATTATCCCTAGTCCATGGGTAAGGAGACCAAGAGCTAATGGGATTAACTGGTCACAGCAAGGCAAGGACAGGACCAGGATTAGAATGAAGGTTCAGGAAAAGGCAGTTCACATGCAGTGTAATCCACTTCATTAAAAAAAAAAAAAGAAGACAGACATCTGCAAATATGTTCATCAAAAACAGCAATGGGGTTATAACCTGGTACTGGAAGTGTGATTTTTATTTTCTTTTTTAGACTCAACTGTATTTTCTAAGTTTTCTACAATGAACAAGTATTACCTAATAATTTTTTTCTTCAAAGTGTGCAACCTGTTCTCAACCTCTCTATAATTCAAGGAATGTGCATATTAAACAATGTAATGTTTTCCACCCAGGAGACTAACAAAACTAAAAAAACTGTTACACGCAGTGTTGGCAGGGGTGTCGGGAAAAGGGTGCTCTCATTCACTGCTGCTGGGACCGCCATGAGTACTGCCTTTTTGGAGGCAAAGTGAAAATTAACATGCCCTGTGACCCAGCAACTTCCCTCTAGGAATCCATCCTACCCAAATCCTTGAGCATGTGTTCCCAAAATTATATGTACAAGAATATTCACATTCAGGGCACCTTCATACAACAGACTAGTCTGCAGCCATTAAAAAAGGAAGTGGGCCTAGGTGCCCTGACATAGAAGTATCTCCAAGACACATGGTTTAAGTGGAGGAAGGAGGCAAGTAGCAGAGCAGTGTGTCTGGCACGGAACCATTTTGACAAAAACAAAACTAGACAAAAGCCCCTGTTTGTGTGTACATATCCATAGCTATGTGCATACAGACATGCATACATGCACAGAATGGTCTAGAAGGACACACGTCAGACTGGTAACAGGGAGCTGTCTCTGGAAAAGGAATGGGGTGGGGAGCGGGGCTGGGGGTGAAAATGGCCTTTTACTTTTTCTTCGACGTCTTTCTGTACTGTTTGAATGGTACCTATTACTCATTTTTTTATGTATAAACCCCCCCCCATTTTTAAAAAAATATGCAGGTCTCCTGACTCCTACCTATTTTAAGGTCCCTCACGGCCATTCCTCGATCTGCCCCCTCCCTGAGAGGACCATGGGCTGGGCCCTGCCTTACCTGGCTGGCTTGACTTCCTCCATCTCAGAGAGTTTGGCTTGAATGAGGCACAGTCCTAGAAGAGAAGAGGTGCCCTGAGAGCTTAGGTGGGCTCCTCACTTCAGGCCTAGCCTCCCGCCAGCTCCCCATTTACTAAGAGGCAGATGTGGTGGAAGGCCTATGTTTACTCTTCCAGATACTCCATCTCTGCCTGCCATGCCACACCCAGTTGGAAGCCTGGCATCTGCCCCCTCTCCTGGGAGTGACTAACCAGCATCTGACCAGCACCCCTTGGGCTGCAAGCAAGACTCAGAGCTATAGGGGCAGCACTGGATGGAGACTCAGTGGTGGCCATGCCCCAGGGTCCCCCGCTCTCCCCAGTACACTTCTTAGCAGATGTGGCCTCTTTGCTCCAGGCAAAGTGCCAAGGGCTTTCAAGGTGGCTTCATGGCTAGAAACAAGCTGGCAAGATACGGAACTCACAGTCAGGTGACAAGACACCTGTAGTCCTGAGTTTGCCCACTTCCCAGGGATCTGGCGGCAGACCTATGTCTGGAATTCAGGTCTCCCAGTTTCTGCATCGGGGGGCTGCCATCGAACCCCGTTGCCCCGTGGACTGTAATGGGCTAAACCAGCCGGATCCCCGATGGTCTGGCAGCCGTGGACCCAGATGCCAGAGAGACTTGCGTTTGAAAAGGTTTTGTGACTTACCGGCTGTATATGTTAACCTCTGGGCAAGTTTGTTACCCTCTCTGAACCTCAGTCTCCTCATTAGTAAAAAAAAGATAACAACTACCCCTTCTTTACAGGAGACAATGCTTGGGCAGGGGATGACAGTGAGCCTGAGTGGGTGATCAACAAACGCTGGAGGGTACTCTCCCAGGCAAAGTTTGAACAAGCGGGGAGCTGAGGCTGGGGAGGCCCTGGGGGTCAGTGCTGTGCGGACATGAGAAGGGGGACCTGGGGCCCGCACCTGGGAAGACGAAGATGAAGCAGGCTGCCAGGCCTCCAACGACCGAGATGACCTTGCCGATGTCAGGGATGAATAGTGCCAGCAGCAGGGTGAGCAGGAACCAGACCAGCGTCTGCAGCACTCGCCGCCGCCGCTCACGCCCCACGTCCTCCTCCACCGGCGTCCCCTGGTAGCGCAGCCACAGGCCCTCGACCACAGCCCTGCCCACATGGAGAGGAGGGGGCTCAGAGGTGGCCCTGCTCACAGCCCCACCCAAGCTCACACGAGCCAGACCCTCAGATGAGCAGATTGTGGGGAAGAGGCTCTCATCCCTGAGCCTCGATTTTTAATTCTGTAAAATGGGCCTAACGTTTCTCCTCAGGGTTGCCGTGGGGACTGGATGAGATGGTGAATGGGAAGGGCTTGGTGTCTTGCCTCACCACATGAGAACTGATACTATTATTCTCCTTAAAAGGAAGTGCCTGGGGTACCTAGAAGGCTGGGTGTCCATGTCATAGCTCAGGAAGGATCTGGACTACAGATCTTAGAGGACTCACAGAACATTCCAGTGACCCTGAGATAAAGGGGGCACCTGAGACGCAGGATCTTAGGGAGCCATCCTAGGCACTGACACTCTTCTATGGGCTTCAGTTTCTCCTTCGACAAAACAGGTTCCACACAAGGCCAAAGGACCATGTTCAAGGGGCTCACAGGGGCTCTAGCGAGAGGGAGCACTTCACTGAGGTGGGGAGTGAGCTCACCGCCCACAGAAGTGCAGGATGGGGTAGGAAGTAAGCACGCTAAGGATGATGAAGGCTCGGGCAACGGCCACAGCCATGTCCTCTGAGGGATAGGACAGGAGCACATCGGGGTCCACGGCAGCTCCAAAGGTCAGGAAACCACAGATGCCTGTGAGCAGGGAGAAGAAGGTGGGGTTAGGGCCACTCCTGGGAGGGCAGGGGAGGGTCTGTCCACTCCCCAGTACAACAGCAGACAGGGAGGATACTGGAGCAGCTCTGCAGAGGCACAAGGTGACCGGACACTGTCCTTGCCTGATTTCTTCCTCCCCCTTGCAGGAAGTGGTCTGGCTATACTACCGTCTGTCTGTCTTGAACTTGCCTAGCTCACTCCTGTCTCAGCCTCTGTACTAACCATTCCGTCTCCCCCAGATCTTTATGCTGCCATCTCCTCCTCATTCAGGTCTCAGTTCAGATGTCCCCTCAGAGAACGGTTCCTGCCTGGCCTATCTCAAATAACCCCACCTCCACCCACTCTCTCTATTGTTCTATTTCTTCAGAGCACTCATCCCTCTGAATTTTTTTTTTTACTTGTTGACCATCCATCTCCCCAACCGGAACACAAGCCCCAGGAGAATAGGGACTGTGCATCTCTTGTTCCTGGCTGTCTTCACAGGCAGCTCCAGGAACTGTCTGTGGAAGGAATGCAGGCCACAGGGACATTCTTCCTGGTCTCCCAGTCCTGCCCCCTCATCCAGATCATTCTCCACAGACTAGCCAGAGCCAACTCTCGCTGAGCCACTCCTCTGCTTAAAACCCTTCCTTCCTGGCTCCCAACAAGTTCTCAAGGCCCAACAGGATCTGGCCCCTTACCCCGCTCCAGCCACATGGACCTTCCTTCTCCTTCCTGCCTCAAGGACTTGACATTTTCTGGTTGCTCTGTCTGGAATACTCTTGTTTAGGTCTTCATATTCTGCTTCCTTTTCATCATTTGGGCCTCCTCAAATATCACCTCCTCAGAGAGGGAACTTCTGTGAACCTCTCCCCCCTCAAGTCACCCCCCACCCAGTCACACTCACAACTCCACCATTTCACTGACATCATGGCCCTCACCACTCTCTGGAACTCCTTCTTGAGTCTGGATTGTTTAACTCTGCATGCCTGTCTCCCCATCTAGACTGACTTCCATGAGGGCACGACCAAGTCTGTCTCAGCTCCACTGTGTCCCCCATGCTGAGAACAGTGGGGCTTACTAGGCACCACTTTAGAGCTATTCAATGAATCGCTCTCATCTGGCAGGAGGCGGCCCATGGGAGCTCAAGTTCAAGTTAATGTCTACAAGTGTTTAATGTGCTGGGAGTAAAGGGCTGTTCCCAGGAAAGCTGGGCCAGAGGCCGTGGGGACGCAAGGGAAAGTGGGAGCACTCCAAGCCTGGCCCTCAAGGGGAATACTCACCTGTGCCCATGTAGACAGCAAGGGCTATGACCATGGCGGCCGTCACCACCCCACCCCAGGTCTTCACCTCGGGCTGCCGCATGCTGTTGAAGACGGGCACGCTACTCACGTGGCACTGTCAGGGTGAAGGGCATGGTCACAGTGGGGGAGTGACCTCACCCATTTCCAGAGGGAGGGACTTTGGGGACAAAGGCCCCAGGGACAAAGGGCAAGTCCTGGGGCCCCCACTCCATCCTTCGTCCCAGAATTCCCCCCATCCTGCCTGGAATGTGGGTTCCATCCCTGGGTAAGAGATGAGCTAAGGGGATGATGGGGACCTTGTAACTGGCACCTGAAATCCGAAGCAGATGGTGGGCATGGCATTGAACACGGCTACCCAGGAAGCCGGCCTGCAGACAAACACACGGGGTGCTGCTGCCTGTGGACCCCCACACCCCCACGCCTCACTCAGCCCACCATGGCCTCTACCAACCAGCATCTATACGTTTGACCCACATAAGTCTGGAGACAGGGAGAGGCGACATCTCCACCTCACAGGTCAGTAAACCGTGGCTTTCAGAGGCCCTCTGGGACCAAAACCCAGAATTCCTGGTTCCTAGATTGGGGCTTCTGCTATTCTGGTTTGTTCCTTTCAAAAGAAGGAAACTTTTTTCTTTTTAATGACCAAACAGATTCACCTACATGTAAAAGATACAGAAATTACAGATAAGCATAAGTAAGTAAAATGTTCAGTTACACCCTGGCTGTCTCCATGCTGGTTCATCTGTTGAACGTTTGTGGCCAAGTCTCTCCCTGTCCCTGGTTCTCCCTCTTCCCTTTAGTACAAAGAGATCAGGACTTCTTGCTTCCTTCTTTCCATGACCAATGAGTCAATCCCTGACGAGCTAAGCCTTGGGAAGAGAGCCTTGGTGGCCTTTTGATCCCCGACCCAGCACTTCCCGGGGCCCAAGTGGCCGGCTTCTACTCAAATGTCTCCTGGGGGCCCCACCTACCTGGTCAGGATGTCCCCAGGGGTCATCTCTTTATCTGGCCAGAAGTATTTGATGATAACAATGGCAGTGACGTACCAGGTGCCCACGACACTCAGGAAGCTGCCAAGAAGGAGAGACTGAGCATCCTCCTCCCCCAGCCACCCCTCTCCAGTCACATCCCCAGGGGCAGCCACACTCAGCTCAAGTGACCTAAGTGTCTACTGAATAATTGGGAGACTATTCCAAGCAAATGCCTGAGAAATAAGTTTTGGAGAAACCTGCCACAGCTTGGAGGAAGCTGGACAGACAATAGGGGACCAGACCAACATTTCTGGCCATAGGGAAAGGCACTGGTTCAGCTTCAATCAAAGCGGCCCAGACGTGGAGAGGGCTGTGAGCAGGGCATCCTCTGAACCTGGCTTCTGAGAACTAGGAGATGCTGAGATCAAAGGCGTTAGTCCAAATACTGGAAAGTCAGCATTGAAGGGGACCTTTGAGACAGCTGTGTGTGGCCCCTTCACTTACAGATTGGGAAACGGCCTAGAGTGAAGCAGAAGGGCCTGGAATCTTTCAGAGAATCTTTTCAGAGACTGAGCCGGAGAGCCAGTCCTCTCCCTTCATACCAAGCTGCATGGAAGATGTTGCCAAGCTGACAATCACAAATGATCAAAACTCTCATCCTCCCAGGGAAAGACAAGCCCCAGCCAGCAGGCTGCCTGCACACTCCCAGCCACGGCCCAGGCCTTCCTTGACAAGGACACACAGAGCTGAGTCTCTCACTGATGCAAAGGGCCATGTCTCCTTTGTTGCTGACAGGAGAGGAAGTCTTATACCTGAAACCCTGCAAGCCCTGGACCGGCCTGCCTTGACCACTCTTGCTCCCCAAGAAGGTGAGGAGGTATGGGGGGGGAGGGGTTTCCCAGCAGCCCTTCGGTCCCCAGCTTTCTGCCAGGCGCTGTGGGCGGAGAAGGTGGGGCCTCCGAACCTGGCATATTTCTGGAAGCCGATCTCCCTGGGGATGGAGAGTGGCAGGATGAAGAGGAAGGCGGTGAGGCTGATGGTGAATTTGCGGTCTGTGTACCAGGGGCCACTGCTGGCCCCCTCAGGCCCCTCTGCCACCACAGCTATAACTGCACAGGGAGGAAGGGGGATATGTCATGCCAGGGTAGCACCGGGTGCGATGTCCTGCTCTGCTTGGCCTCAGGACCCCCATCTGAGGGAGGATTCCCAGATGGAGGCTGGGCCCAGGCTGGGCCTTGGGCAGGTGTTCAGCGCCCTGTCCCTCCACCCCATGATCCCCAGAAAGGAGGAGGTGGGCACTCAGGGAACCTCACTCTTGTCCTGCTGGTCCCCGATGATGATGAGGAAGGCAATGCAGGTGCCGAAGGTGTAGACGGCGATGGCCACCTCACACAGCACGCCTGTCAGCTTGCCACACACGGCCCACACCACCTCCTGGTAGGTTCTCTCATTGCTGGCCTGGGAGCAGTAGGCTAGGATGACGAGGCCGCTGATGATGAAAACCAGCATGCACTGCAGGCAGGGGCAGAGAACGAGGGGGTGTGGGAAGACCTGCCAGCAGAAGGCATCCTGCGCTGGTCAGCACCTCCTAGGCCAGCACCCAAAGTGGGCTTGGCAAATGAGTCTCACCTCACAGGGCAATTTTAATTGATTGCTGGAGGCTGCTAGGTTGAGATTTTCTTTAAATACAAAGTTTTGTAGAAATTTTCAAACATACACAAAAGTGGAGAGAAAAGTATCATGGGCCCCCATTTACCCATCACTGACCTTAAAAAATGATCAATTCTTGGCCAATCTTGTTTCATCTATTTCCCTCCCCCCGCCCCCACTCTGGATTGTTTTGAAGAAATACAAGCTTCATATCACTTCATCAGTAAATATTTCAGTATGCAATTCCAAATGATAAGGACCGTCTCTTTAAACGTTAACTACAAAATCACTGTAACACCTAAAATAATTAAATATGCAGTTAATGTTCAAACTTTCCTGATCGTTGGGCCTCATCTGGGCTCAGAGAACAGAATGCTCGAATAGATTAGTAATGTCTGCTATGTGTCAGGGTGGGGAGAACAGTAGCACGTATGTCACCTACTGGCCATCCCTGATCCAAAGCCTCCCTTTTGAGGCAAAAAGCCCAGACCCACCACCTAAATGGCACCCGCACTCTTCATGCCAACACCCTTACCATTTGCAGCGTGATGCCAGCTGCCACACCCCCAGCAGTGCTGAAGGCTGCTGGGAAGTTGAGCAGCCCTGCCCCTAGGCAGGCGTTGACTACAATGAAGATGGCCCCAAGCGTGGAAGTGGTGCCTCTGTCTGTACCCCCGGAAGAGGCCTCTCCATCACCCTTGGGGGCTGTGTCCACACAGGGACTCTGCAGCAGGCGGGCTCGCTCCCCAGCATCTGTGCTCCAGCCCCACTCGCCAGGGTTGCTGTTGATGTTGAGCTGGGCCATGGCCCCGAGAACCCTCTGCCTGCAGGATTTGCGGGTTCTGTCTTACAACCACATCCCCTGGGCAGTGAAGGGTACGGCCAGAGCTCGGCTGTAGGGCAGCACCAGCGTGTTCAAGCTGCTACCCTGGGAGGTCTGTGGGCTCTGGCTCTTCTCAACCTAGATGGGACAAAGGCAGGTACTACTGTTACCTTGAGATGGGGAGACTGGGGCATAGAAAGGTCAATGAACTTTCCCAAGACCACATGGCTGGGATTCAAATCGAGGTGTGCCTCTGAACAGAACACCACATTGGTGCCATAGTGTGGGATAGCAGATACAGAAACACGGCAGACACCAACTGTGCTTGCTTCAAGATTACAAACCATAGGATAAATAAGACGTAACATAAAAAGGGGGGTACTCATATGTCAGCACTAGAGAGGCCAGGCATCAGGCCAGGTGTGTCATGGACCTATCTTATCTCTCAATCTATGACAGCCTCGTGGCCATAAGGTTTAAGAGGTCAAATCACTGACCCAGGGTCACACACCAGCAAGTGGCTGAGCAGGATGTCGATCCAGATCTGTGTGGCTTTCCAGCCTTTCTCCACACCACAGGGCCAAAAGGAGCTGGCATAAAGAACTGAGGCCATTTCAAAGCATTACAGCCCAGCACGCCTCCCTCCAGCCCAGAGTCTAAATTCGGCGTGGCTTTCAAAGCCCTTCGAAATTCAGGCCAATTCTCACCCCTCTCCTCCAGCAATGGGGCCCCCCTTGGGGAGCTGGGAAGCCCTGCTCCCAGGCAGGCACTGACTGTGATGAAGACAGCCCCAAGCATGGAAGTGGTGCCTCTTCCCTGTACCTGTCACATCTAGGTCCTCAGGGAAATAATGGATTATCAATCCCATGCTTCCAGTGCTCCAGTCCCTCTTTACCAGCTACCCTTCTGGGTCCCACTTGTTTCCCACTTCCTGGGACACTCACTGAGCTCTCCGCAGAGCACCCTGGGGCCTGGCCGTGCTCAGCAGGTTCCCTCTCAGCATTCCCTCATGTGCGAGCACGTTACGGCACCAGGCCTGCTCGCCTGGGCTAGAGTGCAAGGCTCTGTGGCTGAACGTGTAGTGTGTATTGTTACCATCCACTGCCACCACTGCAGCTACAGAATGCTTTATCTCATTCAGTCCTCACAGTAGCCCTAAAAGGTGGGTATGACTGTCACCATCTAAATGAGGAGGAAACTGAGTCCCAGAGAGGTGACGCGCTCTACCCTATGCCATCTGGTGGTCAGTGGTGAAGCCTGGATTCAAACCTAGACCTGTCTGACCCTAGAGCATCCATCTGTTTGTATGTGCCCCACTCTTGGGCTGAAGATGGTACTCTGGGCACAGCTGAGCTCAGTAACAGGCTTGTCACCTGATTAATTCTCTTCACTCCCTTGGTAAACAGAGATGAGTTACAACTTCTTCTTTGGCCTTGGTCCTCCCCCTTGAAAAATGAGAAGCTTCCTCTTCCCAGAACCTTGAGATGCTCTGATCTTCACTGCGCTCAAGGTTCAGCTCACAGCCTGAGAGTCTTAAGAGAAAGGCTAGTCCCAGATCAAGAGTAGCCCTGAGCAGGGAGGGTCTGTGATCTCTGATTAGACTTTGAAGTCAGAATCCTGACTCCTCCACTTCTTAGCTGTGTGACCTTGGGCAAGTCACTTCACCTTTCTGGGCCTCCTTTCCGTTTGTAGAAAAGGGAGATAATAACAGCATTTGCCTCATAGATTACTGTGAGGAATGCGTTAACATGGGTAAGTGTTTAGCACTCAAAAATGGCCATTGCTACTGTTATTTCTGCAAATGCCCCTGCCAATGCTCCCCACTCTCATCACACCTAAGAAGCCTCAACCCTAAGCAAGCAAGGAGCAGCCAAAACCCAACCAAACCCACTGCCATCGATCCAGTTGATTCTAACTCATAGTGGCCCTATGGGACAGAGTAGAACCACCCCATATAGGGTTTCCAAGGGGTGGTTGGTGGATTCGAACTGCTGACCTTTTGGTTAGCAGCCAAGCTCTTAACCACTGTGCGACCAGGGCTCCAGAAGGAGCATAACTGAGACCAAAACCAGGGCCTGGTGCCACTGGCCAGGTAACAATGGGCACAAAGGCCCTAGGGCAGCTAATGGGAGGAAGAGCAACATGAAGGCCAGGTTAAAAGGGCAGGGGCTTAGTGGGCAGTGAGGAGCCAGAAGTGGCCTTCCCCAGAGGCTGCTGCTGGATGACTACCACACAGGCTGGTGAAATCTGCCAGACTCCTTCACCTAGTCTCCTCTTTCTGAGTCCTGAACCCAGGCTATCCATATAAAATGCTGCATTTTACTCTCTATTTGTCCCTCCCTGGTTTAGTCCATGACGTAGAGAAGGAGACCGACCAGATTCCGCAATAATGACCGATCCAACCACTACCCATCACAGCCAGCATCCCTCCTGATGCCCTCAGCCTACTGGGGGTTTAGGATGACTAACCAGGGCCCTTGGGTGGTCGGATGCTTCCCACTGTTCCTCCTGATGCTGGATGAGCAAAGTTGGGAAGCCTGCACTCATGGGAGGTGAAAGGGAAACTTAAGGTGCTCTCCGACATCTCTCACCAAGCCTGAAATCAAGGGGCACTGCTTGAGAGAAAACACCCCTCTGCTAGCTCCAAATCCAGAAACATCAGTTAGGTGCCACAGGGCTTCCTCTTACGCAACCTGCCACCAAGCCAGCAACTCAGCAAAATATCAAAGCAGAACTAAGGCTAGGGTTGTGGGTAGTGAAGGCAGAGTCTCAGGACTTCCAGGCTTCCAGCATAGCTCCAGAGAGAGCCCTGCAAATTCGGTGCTGCCAGAACCACAGGATCACCTCCTGCACCACCCGCACATCACAGACACACGGGCCGAGGTCTATGAGATGACTTGTCCAAGGTCGCAAGGCTTGGTGCAGCCTTCTAACTCTCTCCTAGAGGGCAAGTCATCTGCCCAGCCTCTGCTGTCACCCACATAAGTGCTCAAGCTGGGGTTCAGAGGCAGGGTGGCCCCACTTCTTGAAGAGTCTGTGCATTAGTCTGAGATCTCTCACACGTCCCCCCTCCCCCACCTCATTGCTCAGTTGCATAGTCCCCAGTTTACCTGTTGTTTCCACTTGATTGGCTATGGTGGAGCTCCTTCTCCCCAAAGAACTGTGATCTGATTCTCTTCAGTTCACTCTCTGGCCCCAGTTACTTCTTTCTCAAGTCTTTACCTAAAATCCACTGTCAGCAGAGAGAAGAGTTTGGGCTGTTTCTATGCTGGCTTCAGCAGAAAGTGGGGGGAACTGAGTGGCTCTAACTCATGGAATGAGCCAGATCAGATGGGGAAACAGGCCCACGGAGAGACAGGTAGACTAAGGTCACAGGGCAGCTGGCTGACCCAGAACTAGAAGCCTGATACCCATATGCTTAGGCCAGAGTTGTGCTCATTGCACTAGGCTCCTCAGATCCCAACCTGAGTGGGCGCCCAGTCCAACCCGAGGCTGGAGCCCTGAAATACGAGGGGTGCTCTGCACTGGGAGGTGGGCTGAGGCGCACGCCGGACGAAGGGACGGTGACCTGAAAATAAGGGTAGGCTACTGTGGGGTAAACCAGGGAGGGGCTCCGGGACTAGACTTCGGCCTAGGGAAAGGTGGAGACAGGCCGGGCAAAGGCGCGGCGGAGCCGGCGCGACAGAAGGCCGACGTGGGGCCAAGGTCGCCGGGCTCCGGAGCCCTGCCGTGAGTGGGCCCGAATTCGGCCGCAGTGGGGGAGCTCTGGGGACCGGGGAACCTACTCTTTCCACTTTCCATAGCCTCTACCCTCTGTCACCTACCCTCTACCACCTACCTACAGCGCTTCATTCCAGAGCCGGCTGCAGTGACACGTGACATCGGTCACATGACCGCTCTGGCTAGGGGCGCGGCCGCGGGGGACGCTGGGAGTTGTAGTTTCCCGTAGGTACCAACCCAGAACAGCACCTACTGCAAGAGTCCCCAATCGGATAGCATTCCCAAGCCAGCCTCGCAACCAGTCCAGTCGTGCTTATCCTGTTACTTTTAATCCTGGCCTCTTGTCCAAGCCAAACATTGCTCCTTCCTCACAAGAACTGCATTTGTAGATTTGACATCTTTGCCAGTCCAGCGGCAGTGGACCAAAGCTATCCCCCTGTACCACGGCCCCGCTTCCCTCCCAACACATCTCTGGCCTGCCTTCATGCCCACAGCCAGTGATTTTGGAGTTTCTTTTACTGAGGACCATTCTTACCTCCTTGAGCCATCTTTTCTATGGGAGAAAGAACTGGTCTGAGTATCGTTCACAGTCATAGCTCAAGGGCCTAGATTCTGTAACAGTTCTCGGCACATTGTAGGTACTCAACAAATATTTGTTGAGGGAATGGGTGTCTGGAGTTCTGGCTTCTGTTCCTGAATGTGTTCCACTCACAAACTGTCACATAATCTTCTGCATTCCAATGTCCTCATCTGTGTTGTGAGAATATGCCCTCTGCTACATGTACCTCTCCATGCATCCTTCTTACATTCATCCTTTTAATTGGAAATTTTATTGAGAAATTGTGGATCCACATGCATTGAAAGAAATAAACAGATCTCATATATTCTCTACCCAGTTTCTCTCAATGGTGACATTTTGCAAAACTATAGTACAATATTACAACCAGTATGTTGACATTGACACAATCCACTGATCTTATTCAGATTTCTCCAGTTTTACTACAAATCCTGTGTGTGTCCTTGATGGACTCATATAGGGGAGGGGTATTTGTGTACCTTTAGTAAATACTGCTAGTTGGTATTTACTTCCACCGGCAGTGTATGAGTTATAGTTGTTCCACTTGTTTTCACTTGCTATTGTCAGTCTTAATTTTTGCCACTTTGCTAGGTGCATAGTGGTATCTCAGTGGTTTTGTTTTCCTGATGAATAATATTGAACACTTTTTTGTATGTTTACTGGTCATTGGATAGCCTCTTTTGTGAAGTGTCTGTTCAAGACTTCTGCTCCTTTTTTAGATTGGATCGTCTTATTGATTTGTGAGTTCTTTATATATTCTGAATTCTAGTCCTTGGTTATTTATGTCTGTGGTTTTGCCTGTTCACTCCTTTATTGGTTTTCTTTGATTAAAAAAAATCTTTAATTTTAATGAAGTCCCATGATTAGTGCTTTGTGTCTCGTTTAAGAAATATATGCCTACTCTAAAGTTGTGAAGACATTCTTGTGTTTTCTTCTAGAGGCTTTAGCTTTCATATTTAGGTTTGTGATCCATCTTGAATTAATTTTTGTATACGTTGTCAAACACGGTCAAAGTTCATTCTTTTTATTTAATACCCAATTGCTTACTTGCTGGTTCCTTTTTAATTTTTATTTATCTTTGAAACAGTGCAGTATTTGTGGGGCCGGAGCTGGGGGCAGAGCTCAGAAATCAAACATGATTTCTATACTATGGTCTGTTGTTGGCAAGGACTAGCAGGAAGATCTCCTGGGGTCTACACAGTGAAGCCCTGTGTGGCACAGGACTGAGCATCTCTGCCCAGGTTTGCCATTCCTATCTTCTATTCAGCTGTCATGGATTGCTGAGGGTAGGGTAGGGTACAAAATTTTATAAATACGATCTCAGCCATGTAAAAACTTGCATAGAAAAATCAATGAAAGATTGTTCAGTATAGTCAACTGGTATCTCCAGGTGGTAGGTATTGGGGATTTTTCTTTGTATTTTATTTTCTGAAACAAGCACAATTATCATTGAGAAAACTACTTTCTTAATATTTTTATAAAGTATCATTTTGAAAAAGAAAAAAATTGTTCTTTCATTTATCATTGAACATAAATCGATAATTTCTATTTAAAAAAAAATTCCATAGCCCAGCAGCAAGGAAAAAAGTTCAAAACAAAATTCTCAAGCTGGCTGAGTGAGCTGGACTTTCATTTGTTTAGATGTAAGTCTGAAACAGGTTAGTCTAATAGTGCCCAGTGGGCTGGTCCAAGGGGCCAGCTGTATCTGAATCACCCAGAAATCTTTTATTTTTAAATACAGATTCCCAAGCCTTATCTCAGACATACAGAATTAGAGCACCAGAGGAGAGGCCAGTATTTTAAATAAACTCTCCAGGTGATTACTCTCCATAGATTTCAGAAACATAAATTATGATGGAACAAAGGCACAACTTTGGAGCAGGTAAACCCCCCATCTCCATCAGGTTAGAGAAAGTTAACATCTTAGACCCAGACTTAGAAACTAGTAAAGAGTTATACGCAAACAGCCCAAGCTTCTGAGAAAAACAGGGTTCACACACCATGTGACTGTTTCAGTGAGGAATGGGACTCAGTCGAGGGTGAGTGGGTGATACATGTGTTTAAAAACGAGGCCAGCAGTGTGGTCAAGTTCCTTTTCCAGTTAGTTGAGAGTTTGGCAGCAAACTTTCAACCATTTTTGCTAGAGACAGGGAGACTGAGTGTCTCATAAGCTATATAGTTACTTTAGGGAGGAGCTGACTAACATGTTTATTTTTTCCCTGTTAAGATCGTTTTCCAAAGACATCTAGTGAGCCAGACCATTCACACACCCTTTTACCACCTGGAGGTATCCATTAGCAACAGGAACACAGATGAGCAGTCAGGAGCAACACACTCCCTGACCCATGCACTGTGTCCCTCAAGGGCTGAGGATAATCAAGGACAAGCAGAGCCTGCTATCCTTTTCCAATGACCATCAAAACAACATGGATTAGAAACAAACAAACAAATACTATGGATCAGGGGCTGGAGGGAAGGGGTAAGGGGGAGCAGTCATTGTTTAGGAAGCACTGAGTTATCTGTTGATGGTGATGGAAAATGCAGCAATGGACACTGATGACAGCTGCCCAACATGATTAATGTAATTGTTTACATTACTGAATTGTACATGTAAAAAATGTTGAACTGGCAAATGTGTTACATATGTCATCTACCAAAAAAAAAAAGTCACCAACCAATCAATAAAAGCCAATATCAGCAACAAACCCACACATGATCCCAATAATGGCATTATCAGATAATTACTTTAAAAATAATAAAAAATCAATATATGAAAACACTCTGGATGGCCTCTGGGCCTGACTCCTGCTCCCCTGCCTGCCGGGCAAGTAGCTGTCCCATCTTGAGTGGTAACTAGCACTGAGCAGAAGGGGACAGAATAACCACAGGCAGGTGCCAATGCTGAATGCCTATAGACAGAAGGCACAACTTTCTGCAGTCTTGCTTGCAAATCATTTTAAAAAAACTGAATTAGTTGTCAACCTTTAAGCAACAATAGACCTCCCATAAAAAGAGGGACTTCCATTTTTCTTGATAATTTTAAGACCTGCAACCCTGGCTCCCCCCACTTCCCTACTTCAATACCGGGTCGAGGGCTGGTCACCAATGGTCATCTTACATCCAGTTCACCTCACGCTTTTACTTCATATTCGCTTTTTATTTACATTATCTACTTGGCCTTCCTGATATCCACAGGATCCTTCGTGGTACCCCACTTATCCTCCAAAGTCCAACGGATTTAAACCCATATTCTTAACTTCTTTGGATGGACAAGCCAAACAGCTAATGTCCTCAGTCTATATTTGGAATAGCCAACACATCTATTGGCTTATGGTCAGCAGAACATAACTCCTGGGATAGACAGCCACTTCTATCCCATTCCTCTCATTAGAAGAAAAAAGACATCTTAGTAGACAGTGGTTGGGTCTACAGTGATTTTATTGTAACAGAGAAACCAGGCTGCAATAAATCTACATGATCAGAGCAGATGGTCTTTATCTTTCCAAAGGGTGAAGCCTGAGCCCGACTGGCAGCACGTACAGGTGACAAGCAAAGCCCAGAATGTCCCCTCTCCTGGTCCTGCCCTGCACTGCCTGGCTCACGTTGTGAGAAGAGTGACTGCACAACCACACCCAACCAAGGCAGGAGGTCCAAACAGGCAGAGGCGACATCCCGACAGGAGGTAATTCAACGATGACTAAAGCAGATGCTGAAATGAAAGTGCAGTTATCTATTCTCCAGGTGAGGGTATAGCAGTGCATTGAATTATGTTCTTCCTTCCTGAAATAAGTAAATCCTGACAGAAGGGGGTTGATGGGCCAAGAGAGCAGCAGAATGGGATGAGAATCTAGGCTAGTGATAGATCTTTGAGCCTAAGGAAAAGAACAGCAATGATTAGGGATAAGGGAGGAGCATTAAAAAGGAGAGCCTTCTTTCTTTTTTTCTTAAATAAGTCAGGAATCGGCATCTTTTATTTTCCTTGCTGTGATGGCAGTGGACTCAACGGTTTTCATTAAACACGATTTCTATACTACAGTCTACTGTTGGGATGGACAAATATGAGGCCAACTGTCAATGTCAGAACTAGGTCTTCTCACAAAGTCTCTAGTAAGTGCTATTTCTCATGCTGGATGAACAGAGGAACCCTCAGCACACAAAGTACTACAGTGAAAGCTTCTGAGATATTGCAATGGTGTGACTGACAGAGTTTTGGCTCTGACTTCCCTGCACATGTAAACTCTTTAGGAAAAGCTGGAGGTGAAAGGATGGGGGAGAGTTTGGTTTTGGAGCCACCAAATTCCAGACACCAGCCACGGCTGCCTCTGCCCCATTTTGCTGCATGTTCTTTTCTGTGAAACACATTCAATGGCTGAATGCTCAGCACTGCGGTTGAAAGAAAGGATCTGCTCACCACCATCCGCCCTCTCTCATCCTGTGAATCTCACAGCAGCAGAGGCTGAAGACAGACTGGTTGTCTCTGTTCCTTCTCACCAGACAAGTTACTTGGTGACCTCATGAATGGCGTGGGCAAGGTAGCCCACATTGCTGGAGGTGACTCCTGCCACAGAGATGCGGCCATCCTTTGTCATGTAGATGGAGAACTCCTTGATCAGCCGCTCCACCTGCAGAGAGAAGACAGGTTGGGCACATCTTCCCCTTCCTGGGTCAGGGGGATTCCTGAGCTCTGGCACGGCACGAGAGCCAACTTGTGATAACAGCAGTTGTTTGCTCACTTAAACTCCATTCTCAGAATCTGGTGTGCTAGCTCACAATGACGGAAGAATAAGAAGCTATTTTAAAGTAAAATCAAACCCAACCCACTGCTGTTGTCAATTCACTCACAGTGACCCTACAGGACAGAGCAGAACTGCCCCACAGGGTTTCCAAGCTCTAAATCTTTATGGAAGCAGACTGCCACATCTTTCTCCCATGGAGAGGCTGGTGGGTTTGAACTGCCGACCTTTCAGTTAGCAGCCTTGCGCTTAACCACTGCGCCACCAGGGCTCCACATTTTAAAGTAGGAAAATGAATTCTAAGGTATGATCAGGTGAAAAAAATCTTAGAATTTAGCATTTGTAGAAAAATAAGGGTTTAAACATAGCAACGATTGTGAGAATGGCACAGGACTGGGCAAGTGTTTCGTTCTGTTGTACACAGGGTCGCTGTGAGTCAGAACCGACTTGACGGCACCTAACAACAACAGAAAAAGAAAACTGGAATTCACCTGTGGAACAGTAATAATCAGCCTCCTGTTTGAACAGGCTATTGTTCTGGTATATCTCTTTCGAAAAGAAGTAGTGGTCATAAAAATGACCAATACAAGCCCTGCAATCTTGTGGAGGATACAGATAGGCAAACAACTAAAAATACCAAAACAGAATGAATGCTACACTACCTTTATCTAAAACGGCTCGAAGTACCTGAATAGGTTTGCAAGGACCAATCAATCGGTCAGCTATGGAGAAACTGGAGTCCACTCACCTGTTCAGGCTTGAGCCCTGTGAAACAAAACATGCCGATCTGGTCAGTGATGTGCTGCCAGCTGTGAGAGGAGCCCTCCTTCTTGAGGTTGGAGACCAGCTGAGTCCGCATGCTAATGATGCGGTCTGCCATGCCTTTCACTTCCTGCAACCTGTAAGACAAGCCCGAGATGTGATGCTGAGATGCGGCTCAGCTCAGTTCTGGCCAAGCACTACCAGACACGCCAGAGCTCACAGCAGTTTTATCTCCCTCGAGTACTCCCCTCCCCAACGCTATCAAGTCAATTCTGACTCACAGAGACCCTATAGGACAGAGCAGAACTGCCTCACTGGGCTGTAATTTTTATGGAAGCAGATTGCCACATCTTTCTCGCATGCAGCAGCTGGTAGGTTTAAACCACACACCTTTTAGTTAGCAGCCAAGTGCTTAACCACTGCGCCACCAGGACTCCTTCAAATACTGAGCCACATGCTGTCAATGCAGCTATTTAGTTGCATTCTATTTTATATCAAAACACTATTTTGATCAGGCAACAAAATAGTTAACATAATTGGGTTGTTAAGAACGAATGAATCACTCTAAAATTTAGGAAGACTAAAACAAAACAAAACAAAAAAACAAACCCGCCGCCGTTGAGTCGATTCTGACTCACAGCAGCCCTACAGGACAGAAGGGAACTGCCCCATAGGGTTTCCAAGAAGTGCCTGGTGGATTTGAACTGCCAACCTTTTAGTTAGCAGCCATAGCTTTTAACCACTACACCACCAGGGTTTCCAAGGAAGACTAAGGCCCTGCAAAAAAAAGTCCCCAATGGAGCAGGAGAAAAGTGGGGTGCAGAACTCAAATTCCAGTAAAAAGACCAGACTTAACGGTTTGATTGAGACTGGAAGCACCCTGGAAGATGTGACCCCCTGACTCTCTGTTAGCCCAAAACCAAAACCATTCCCGAGGCCAACTCTTCAGACAAAGATTAGACTGGACTATGGGACATAAAATGATACTCATGAAGAGTGTGCTTCTTAGCTCAAGTAGATACATGAGATTAAATGAGCATCTCTCATCTGGAGGTGAGATGAGAAGGCAGAGAGGGTCAGGAGCTGGTTGAATTGACACAGGAAATCTGGGGTGGAAAGGAAGAGCATGCTGTCACAGTACAGGGAGAGCAAGTAGGGTCATAAAACAATGTATGTATAAATTTATGTATGAGAGACTAACTTGAATTGTAAACTTACACTTAAAGCACAAAAATAAAAAGAAAAAAAAAAGAAGTCCCCAAGTGGCACAAACAGTTTGTGCTCTACTGCTTAACCTAAAGGTTTGTGGTTCGAACACAGCTAGCAGTACTGCAGGAAAGTCCTGGAGATCTGCTTCTGTTAAGATCACAGTTATGGAGCAGTTCTACCCTGCACACCTGGGGTCTCCATGAGTCGGAATAGACTCATCGGCCTAACAACACCAACAAGACTCTCCATCATTTATGCAGGAGACAAAATATGACCTTATTTTTAACAGGAATGGAATTCAGAATAAACATTCCTGACTTCACAATAAAGACAATGCACTGAGAACCTACAATGTGCCAAGCCACGTACTCGGTGCTGAGGAGAGACAGGACTGAAACATAGGCCTTGCCTTTAGAAGGCAGTCCTCTGACTACATACACAAGGCTCACCTGATTCTGAACTCAATCTCCCTCTTCCTCAGAATCAACCCTTTCCATTCCACTCCTACAGCTCTACTGAAAACCCTTGTCGGCTCTCACCAACTGGAACACTGTAAAAACACCTGTAATTTATCTTCCTATTATTGTGTGTTCACTTTCTTAAACCATTTTTCTACAATGATGTTATGCTCTTTTAGAAGAGAGGTTGCAAATTGCCAATTAGGGGCCAAGTAAGCGTCCTAGTCATGTTATTAGACCCAGTTAAACATTTTAAAATTGGGCACTTGCACATAAAAACTTGGATTTCCAGCTTCTCTTGAAAATAAGCAGCTGCCAACACTGCACTAGCAGTGCGCTTACCTAGCTGGGGCCGAGGAGCTCTGGCCCCTCCAGGTGTGGCATTTGATTTTTCAGTTCGCTGTGGTCCCCATCCAGCCAGAGCCATTCACTTTGAGGGCTGGGTCCTACAGGCACTGAGTGTATGACCCACCGCTAGATCCAGCACTACCTTAGCAAAACCCCTCCGTGTTCCTTGTTCTGGCAGAATAAAGTTCTCACTTCTTACAATATCAATCAAGGTACTTCATGACCTACTCCCACCTTCCCAGCTTTGTTGCTTCCTACGTTCCTTTTCACATCCCACATCTTTGCCTCAACCACCACTCGGGGCTCTCTAAAGACACTCTACACAGTGCACATCACACACTTCCAGACACCTCGCTTTAGTCATCTAGCATAGTATTTTGTACACTACAGACTCTCAAATGTATACTGAAGTGCACACATTAAAAAAAAAAAAATCTTCGTTTAACTATCAGGGAATATGAAAACATAAAAAAAACTTAAAATATGACGTGAACCATGGTGGCTGGATGAACCCTTGAAACTACTGCCCTGAGATAATCTTTAAAACTTAAACCAAAAATATTCCCTAAAGTCTTATTAAAACAATAGTTTAGCTTAACTAGTAAAAAATGTCTGCCATGAACATTATGCTTTTTTAAGAACTACCTATATGAGACCAAACTGACAACAGCAACTCAAAAGATTGGATAGGAAACTTAGGGGGCAGTGAGTTAATGTTAATGGGGGAGGAACAACTCAGAAAAGGAGGGTGAGAATGATCGCACAACTTGAAGAATGTAATCAATGTCACAGAATTGTACATGTAGAAAGTGCTAAACTGGTGTATGTTTTGCTATGTATATTCTGAATAACAAAATAAAATTAAAAACAAATTATGTGAAAAAAAGCTTAACATAATCCTAAGTGACAAAAATAAAACCAACCTTACACATACTTATAGAACAGTATGTAGTATAACTATGGATAATAATGGGCAAACAAAAAAAAGCTGGGCTACAGTGGCTGGCGTTATGGTTAATTTTTCCCCTCTCCCACAGTTTCTGAAATGTACTTACACATTAATTTCATAATGGAAAAAATAAATTTATAATTTAAAAGGTAGTCAATTTTTTGGTAAGCCTAGCATAAATCCACTTTACTAAAAACGACTATCCTGAACCAGACTCTTATTATTTACTTCAATGTTTACAGGAATGATATAAAGTAGAAAAAAATAGTTGTCACATGGTAACTGGGTGAGCTATGAAAGTTTCTTAGAAATAGCATATTTAGCTTTTCCACCTAAGACTCTGCTGAGAGATCTACTCCCTCAACTAGCTACACAGGATAAACTCACTATAACAAATCACATGTTCCACAGGCATCTTGGTTTTGATCAACTCTGAATTATCCACAGCAGGGGTTAGCAAACTTTCTGTAAAGGGCCAAATAGTAAATATTTGGCTTTATGGGCCTATGGTCTCTGTCTCAACTACTGAACTCTGCCCTTGTAGCTGCCAGACAATCGTAATCAAATGCTGTGACTATTTAGCAGCCCTTGTAGCGTGGTGGTTAAGGGCTCAGCTGCTAACCAACAGGTTGGCAGCTCAAGTCCACCAGCCACTCCTTGGAAACCCTATGGGGCAGTTCTACTCTGTCCCATATACAGATGCTATGTGTCGGAATCCACTCGATGGCAACAGTGGTGGTGGTGTTCTAATAAAATTTTATTTACAAGAATGGGGGCAGGCTGGATTTGACCTGTGGAACACAGTTTGTCAACCCCTGATCTAGAGCAAAATTTTCTAAATGGTATGTCATGACTTAGTGGAACATAAATTCATAGGGTGCAACTGGCATTTAGAAAATATTTCAGGACAACAAAATTGTTTCAGCTATATATACATGCACATACAGGTATGTGTTTAGGGTCACAATGTAAAATATATTTCTTATGTGGATTGTGGTCAAAAAGATTGAGCAATGCTAATTTACAGAACATGCATCAAGAGATTCAGATGGCATAATTAATAAAAAACAAAAATCTGAATGTTCTTGAGAAAAGTTTTCCTACATAAGGTACTTCAACGTAAACTCAAACTCAGAGGAAGTCAGGTTTCACTTAACATGGAGATACTGGAATAAAAGGAACTACCATTTCTGAATTGTGCCTGTCTCTTACAAGTAATAACTAACGTATTTGTTTGAAAGTGCTGACAAAACGTACTGTCCCTTCTTCCCCCTTCTACGTATGGAAGCTGTAAAGCACAGGCGGTCCCTGGGTCACGAATGTCAAAAAGTACAACTTGTACTTAAGAATGGTCTGGCATAAAGAACATTAAAAATTTGAGTTAAACGCATACAATGGTTTGTAATAGTGAAAGCACACACTACCCTGTGATGCTCATGAAAGCACTGCAGTTTGGAAGTGTTTCTTACGGGTTTTATATGCATAGAAAGGTAAAATATACACTACATACTAAGACCAACTGATACTAAATAAGAACCCTATGTACCTGTTCTGACTTACCTACAAATTAGACTTAAAGACAGACTTAGGAACGGATCTCATTTGTAACCTGGGGACTGCCTGTACTGTATGCTACTAGAGGCCAATTATGAAATCCCTTTGAAGCAGCAGTGGTGGAACAGGTGGACGGCCAAGAGAGGCAATGAGCCTTTACCATTGTTTCCGCAAATCCGGGGTGGTCAGAATGGTCGAGGCAATCCGGGCCCCATTGAGAGGAGGGTTGGAATACATGGGACGGATCAAGATCTTCAACTGTGATTCCACCCTTTTGGCTGTATCAGCATCTACGCAGACCACAGTGAAGGCCCCTACACGCTCACCTGAAAAGACAAAATGGATCATGTCTTCTAGTCCTATTGTCTAACATGCTACAGTAAATCATGATAAACTTTTTATATATTGTGTTTTCATCAGAAGGATCATAAAAATAACTCTTAGGTATAATCAAAATGTTTTTAATAACCAGAATGGTGAATCCAGGCACAACCAAAAGTCTGAGTACTCAACCCAAGCATACGCTTTTGGCTTATGGGCCAGTTACTGTTTGTTTACAGATGCGGTAATCAGTTTTCCTTGCTGGAGGAACTCAGGGACACTAAGGAAGATATGGCTAAGAAGATTAGTAAAATCCAGTCTACATCATCAGTCTTTTCTCTCTAGATAAGGAGCTACAGACAGGGACAGACAGACACACACACCCCTCTCCCATCAATCAAACTCTACTCCTTTGTGGCATCCTCTCCCAGCTCTTTTTCAAACTCATCTGAACATGCATCATACTGGGTCCCGTCAGCTTACCGTATAAGCCCATGTTCTTGGCATACGATTGGCAGAGACAAACATCAATGCCCTGTTCGATGAAGTGGCGCACAGCCCAGGCATCTCTGTTACCATCCCCACTGGCAAAGCCTTGGTAGGCCATGTCAAAAAATGCAAAAAGATTCTTTTTCTGGGAAGGAAAGAGAAGGTCAAACTTTAAGCAGTCTCTCTGAAGATGCCCTAGATGATTACTTGTGCTTCGACTGGGACCATGCCTGCCTCATAGAGCCAGTCCACAGTTTTCTCTCCTAGTGCCTGTCTGGGAGATGCTTTAATTTTAATAGAGTTAAGATAAAAAAACAAAACCAAGAAACAAACCAAACCTGTTGCCATTGAGTCGATTATGACTCATAGCGACCCTGTAGGACAGAGAATTGCCCCATAGGGTTTCCAAGGAGTGGCTGGTGGATTCGAACTGCTGACCTTTTTGGTTGGCAGCCAATCCTTAACCACTGCAGCACCAGGGCTCCCAGAGTTAGGATAGTAACACACATTACTTTGGTAGATACGGTCCCTTGAGAAGATACTATGAAAACAAAATCTTAAACTCAGTCCTGCCCAGAAATGCTGCTTGGTTAAACAGAAGCTCTTCTAAGCCCAGGATGATCTGGGTAATTATTTTGGTCTAGTTAATACAGGACTAAAACTAAATCCACTGCTGTTGATTCCAACTCACGGTGACCCTATAGGACAGAGTAGAATTGCCCCAGAGGGTTTCTAAGGCTGTAAATCTTTATGGAAGCAGACTACCGTATCTTTTTCCTGTGGAGTGGCTTGTGGGGTCGAACTGTCGACCTTTTGGTTAGCAGCCGAACACTTTAACCACTGCACCACGAGGGCTCCAAACACAGGACCAGGATGCTTTAAAACTCAGCATTAGCCTCTTTTGGGGCTAATGTAATCCTGGCAGACTTATAGCCAGGGCTCAGGCAGTGGCTTCATTAGAACCATCTCATCTTGAAAGTGCTCTCTGAATGTTGTTTTCTTGTCTCATCCTCTGTTTGTAGCTTAGATTTGACAGAAAATGAAAAAAGGAGTGAAAATGAAGAGAAGATACAACAAGAATAATATTTTCCTCCTCAGAGATTTTGATTAGTGCCTTCTCTGGCAAGCTGACTATGCCATATGAATGAAAATGGCAATGCTGAGGACAGTGACAAGGAAAGGAGGGGACATGCAGAAGTATACAGAAGGAGGAACAACCAACCACTAACTGGGGCAAATGCAGGCACAAGCAGCAGACATCCTGGGGCCGGTGGGTGTCACCTGTGCAGGCTAGCCAGCGACAAGCTTTACATAGAATTACCTACGCCTAGGCTGAGGAACAGAAGTTATTTTCAAACTGTTTGTGTATCGTCAATTACAGAACTGCTATTTATGCAAATGAGGAGCCCTCTCCTGGCAGCTTCCCCCATGTGTGTAAACTCCACGCAGGCTCAAGGTTAACGGAGTCTCACGTTGAGTCTCTGCCAAGTTAAGCATCTAAGTCTAGTTACTAAACACAGAACTGTCACCCAGCAGTGCATCCTCCTCACCTTCACCACTGCTGCTATTTCCTTCCACTGTTCAGGACGAGGGTCCACTCCTGTGGGATTGTGAGCACATGCATGCAGAAGAATAACACTCTGCTCTGGTATTTTCTAAACAGAAAAACAACCAACAGATTGATTAGCAGCTTTAAAAGAGAATGTTTACCTGAAATGCCATAGGGTCTGTCATGGATTGAATTGTGTCCTCCAAAAAGATCTGTCAACTTGGCTAGGTCATGATTCCCAGTATTGTATGATGGTCTACCATTTTACCATCTGATGAGATTTCCCTGTGTGTTGTAAATTCTATTACTATGATAAGATGGATTAGCAGCAGCTATACTGATGAGGTCTACAAGATTAGATGGTGTCTTAAGCCAATCTCTTTTGAGATATAAAATAGAGAAGCAAGCAGAGACACGTGGGGACCTGATACCATCAAGAAAGCAGCGCTGGGAGCAGAGCGCGTCCTTTGGACCTGAGGTTCCTGCGCTGAGATGCTCCCAGAACAAGGGAAGACTGATGACAAAGACCTTCCTCCAGAGCCAACAGAGAAAGCCTTCCCTGGAGCTGATGCCCTGAATCTAGACTTGCAGCCTGTTAAGACTGTGAGAAAATAAATTTCTTTGTAAAAGCCATCCACGTGTGGTATTTCCGTTATAGCAGCACTAGATGACTAAAACAGGGTCACTACCATTTGATAAGATAACCTGGAGTCTAGGAACTAGCTCATCCCCAGTATTTTAAGTCAGATATCGAGAGCCAGCTAGACGACAAAAATCTCCACAAGCAAGTTTATTTCTCGTTCCACCACCATTCCCGCCCAGAAAGCCACACTTACTGAAATGTCTTCTATAGCACCTGTGAAGTCAAAGCCGCAAGTCTTGGGGTCATAGTATCGATAGCCATGTAGCTGCATGCCAGCGTCCCTGAAGATCGGTGTGTGATTTCCCCAGGACGGTTTGGGCAGAAAGACATCTCGGCTAAACTTAAAGAATCTTTGCTAAAAGGTGGGATGAGAAAATGAAGAAAGGAGAGGCAAATAAAAAAGTTGGTATTTTTCACAGAGAGGACATTTTTATCTACTGGAATCCAGCTTCAATCTATGGTTGAGAGACAGTATTGACTCAGGCTGCCTTAGCTGGAATCCAGGCTCTGAAATTATACCGGCTATGTAGCTAAGGACCTCTCTGGGCTTCACTTTCTTCTTCTGTGCCATGGGGATAACTGTACCTCCCTCACAGGATTATGAGAATTAAATGAGTTAAAATACAAAAGCTCCTGGTAACAGTAAGTATTCAGTAAATTATAGGTATTATATCTTCCACGCAATTTCCTTAAAGTACTTTCAATTTTCCTGACTCCACTGATACTAAGAATCTGCCAACTTTGTGGAAAGGGGAAATCTACTTCCTGGGTCAAATTCAAATACACATGCAATAGGAAACCCCATCAACCTCAACTTATAGCTCTTTCCTGAAAGAGATTCCAGACTCACCAGAAAATTGGCTCCAATCCTTAACGCCCCGGTTCCAGAAATAGTCTGCACAGTGACATACTGAAGGAGAAATACCTTCAATCAGTGAGGTGCAACGCTCTATACAACCCTACAACTTATTAACAAAACTGAGGTCAAGTCCACAGAGGGGCACTGCTCTGTGCAGTCAGTACCCTTCATACTTCAGAAGTGGAAAACAACATTCCAAATGAATATCTGGAAACGGAGAGAATAATACTATTGTTGCACTCCCCCACTGGCTAAGAGACAGACTGATTCTCATCTGTTCCCAGAAGAGCTGTCTCTTCATTTTCCAACACCTGTGCTGGTGCAGAAATTAATTTTCTTTTGCCTGTTACTAGCATCACCCCAATGTCATCTGCAGAGAACACAAGAATTCCTTCTCGATATGAAAAAGCAGTGATTTACTCAAAGAAATAAAGACACTAAGAACAGTCATGCATTAAAACATTATTCTAGAATTATACAAAACTGAACACCAAAGTTTCTTGGAAAGCAAGTCTCAACAAGTATATTAGGATATCATTACGACATTTTGAAGGCTGTCCAGGAGATCCTCCTCTGCTAGTTTTCATAATCAGAAAATATTAACCTTTCCGGTAACAGGAAGATGCCTGAGACAAATCTGTTTCTTCGAATTAGTCAACTTTAGGGGATGAGTAAGCAACCACAGTAGGTTTAAAAGTGTTTTTTTTTTTTTTTTTTTTTTTTTTAATGGCACCATAGAAGTAGAAGGCTTTTTATTTTCTACAAAACATAAACATATTTTTTGGATGGAGGTGGCAGTGTAAATGGGTGAAAATCCAACTAAACAAAACCCATACATTTGCCTCTGCAAACGCTGGCATGATGGAAACCAAAACTTAATCCTGCAGACTGTAGATCTGATAATACTACCGATTCACAAAGGCACACCAATTTATGGAGGATAAGCTGATGCTATTTTAGGATAGGCCAGTCTCATCCTCAGGTTACAAGTGGCTAGACTGACAGATTCTGCAAAATCAAAGTCTGAATTAAAAATAGCAAGTCTTCATGAGAGGTTAGTAGATGGCTGATTATATGGAAATCGACCATGCTCTGTCCATGACTTAGGGTAATTACTACATCACCCTGGAGTGGAGTTGTATGCTTTTCTCTGAGTGAACTAACAAGTGGACTTAGACCAGTCTTGTGAATGAGCTGCATTTATTCTTGCAGGGAAGAATGTTGGCTTAGTTTTGCTACCTTTTATGTTTTATTTTTCCAGATTCAGCTAGAAAAATACTTATACGTCCAAATGTATCCATTAAAAAGACACTTTTTTTTCAAAAGAAAGTAAACCACAATGCACATGAGCCCAAATGTCAGCCAGCTTTTTCATGGCCTGCCCATGCCCCGCATCCCACCTATATAATGCTCCTCTTCCACTACAAGTTCTGACAGGAGCAACCAACCTACTCTGTCGGCACATATAGGAATATTTGTAAAAAGCTTAAGTTCAGTGACATTTAGGGCCATCTTTCTCCCACAGTAAGAGGGCGCTTCAAGGAACTGTGAAAAGGAGAAAAACCAGGAGACACTTGTGCTTGCCCTCAGGGCCGCAGTGATGTCTCTGGACCTCTGAAGAGAGCAGGGAGGGAGCGTGGTCTTTTCTCTTTCAATGTCCAAATTCGCTGTGAGGGTAGCAGAGATGTGCCTGACTGGCCCCAGCTCTACCAGTCCACCTGTGGCTGGTTTCCTGCCTACTTCCTCTGTCTATGCTGGAAGCTTAGGACATGAGGGTGGGATGAATACAGGCCTACATTAGGCAACATCAGGCATTTCTAAAGCACATTCCCTGTAAAATGAATATAAGCACACACAGACTAATAGTAAAAGTAGCACCACATATATCTACTAGTCAAATTACTACCACATTTTCAGGATTGCTACTACATTTTTAGAACTTGTGTTATATTACGTCTTTTAATTATTTTCAATTTACTATCTAAAGGAGATATATTAGCAATAGTGTGGTCACCTCCATACAATCATTATACATAAAGTCAGTTATCTTTTCATATTTGGTTAAAGTTGGGGATGTTAAAAACAAGCCCTGTATGACGCCAGAGTCTGTCCAGCTTACCCGGCCACTTTTCAACACTTCGTTATTCTCGCCCAGGGCCAGTTCTGCAGATGCCTTACAAAATTCAGCTAGGCCCCCAATGGGCAGGTATTCCTTGTCCAGATTTTTTGCAGCAATCTGGGCCTCTGCCTAGACAAAAGAAAATGCATCCATTAGTTCCTTCTCCTTACCTGGAATTGCCATGATTAATATCTAATGCTTTATAACTTAAATATCAGAAATAAAATCCCCCCTTTCTTTTCTTCTGCCTGTCTGGAAAGCTGCTCTTTATTATTATTAATTGTTTTATTGTGGCAAAATATATATAGAACAAAAGATCTGCCAATTCAACATTTTTTACATGTACAATTCAGTGACATCAATTACCTTCATCATGCTGTGCAACCATCAACATTACCCATTTTCAAATTATTCTGTCACCATTAACAGAAACTCAATGACCACTAAGCAATGACTCTCCCTTCTCCACTCCCTCCCACCCCTGGTAACCACTAATAAACTTTGGTCTTTATACGTTTGCTTATTCTAGATATTACATATAAGTGGGATCATATGATATTTGTCCTTTTGTGAATGACTTATTTCACTCAGCATAATGTTTTCAAGGTTCATCCACATTAAAGCATTGCTTGTTTTTCATTTGTAGTTAACTGTCCAAGAAAAAGGTAAGTAGAAAATTTGATATTTTATACTGCAGAGCAGAAATACCTTTCATTTTTAATCACATTTTACAGCTAATTTTTATGTGGATGAATATACAGCATCTCTTGGTTACTATTCAACAGAAAATTACATTCTTACCAGGGACAAGAACAATGTTTCAAGAGCAACACTTAAAGTAGATGCAAGATGATAAAACCAAATTAAATCCATAAAAGAGAAGCATTTCAAGGTAGTGGCCAGAACTTCAAAGAGTTAACAGAAACAGCCACATGTCTTTATGCTTTGGAGTCAGAGCCCTAGCTGCCCTTACTAGCTGTGTGACTTTGGGCAAGTTATTTAACCTGAGTCTTAGTTTCCTCAACTGTTACCTGGAAAACTAACTACACCTCATATGGCTGAGAAGAGTTAATTTAACGAAGTAATGTATAAAAGTGCTTGGTGGTGTTTCAGTTTGCAACAATAGCTAACACTAGCTTCCAATAATAGCTAATACTTCTCAGAAATCCCCTCTGTCTGTGGGTCACTCAGCTGATGCTCTAAGACTCCAGTGGCTCATGAGTGCCTGAGCTAGCCTGCTCCGCTGTACACAGCTTGGATTATTACAGTTATTTACTCTTACCCAAAAGTATGCTTCTGTAACTTCCACTCATTGTGTCTAGTTCTGCTGTATGGAGTTAGAATACAACACCACCCCCATTTTTGGAAGTCACAAAGCAGCATATTCATATTTCATCAGAGGAGATGCAGATGCTTCTTAAAAAAATATTATTCTAAGGGGATTAGTTATATTATTTAAAGTTATATGATACTCAGTAGAAAGATTACAAATATAAGAAAAATAAAGAGAAAAAAATTGAAAAAAATTATTATACAAGGTAGAAAGGGTATGAGCATGTTATGTATAAAGACTTTATTAAGGTAATCAAAATATAGGATCACTACAAGTTGGAATCAACTCGATAGCACACAACAACAACAACGATCAAAATGAGAGAAATGGAAAACAGTAACAGTCACCATCCACAAGAGGCCATTCTACCACCAAGAGGCAATGTTTAAAATGTTGGTCCTTTCTGTGCACCTTCAGGATTAAACCTGATACTATGCCTCTTTTTACAGATCATCACAAAACCACAGAAGGGTCAATCTGGGAAAAGACCACATAGTTCTGACCACTCACTTTTACAGCTGAGGAGACTACAGCCCCAGCTCCTGAGTGATTAATGCACTCAGTGCCAGTACTGTTATTAGAACACAGGTCTCCTGACTCTCAGTCAGCACCCTTCCCGCCACTCCTCAACAGCTCCCTTCAGTTTATTCATCCAATTCAGCAGCAAATGGATGGCAAGCTTACCCTCCGGACACTAGGGAGCACATAAGGTTTTCCATTATCATCCCGGTAGGCCCCAACTCCCAGATTCATCTTTTTGCTGTTAGTATCTCTCTTAAAAGCTTCTGTGACTCCCAGGATGGGATCTGGGGGCCCCATCTCCACATGGGCCCACCAGGAGCTGAAATGAGAAATACAAGGCATCAGTCAACTTGGCTAGATCCTTATGGTCAGAGATGTCTCTGATTAGCCAAACATCTATTTCAATAAACGTTCCCATGTTTACTACACATGCATAGTAATAGGCAGCAATACAACAATGCATAAGAATTCAAAGCAGCTTGCAGAAGAGTGCAGAAGACTAATAATTTCAACACAAATGCTATGAGAAGTAGCAAGGTCGGGCAGGATATGTGGGTACGCTTTTAGAACAGTGCAAACCTGACCTGAATTCCCTAGGCACAAAATAAACCAAAAAAACCAAACCCGCTGCCACTGAGTCGATTCCGACTCATAGCAACCCTACAGGACAGAGTAGAACTGCTCCATAGGGTTTCCAAGGAGCGCCTAGTGGATTTGAACTGCCGACCTTTTGGTTAGCAGCCATAGCTCTTAATCACTATGCCACCAGGGTTTCCAGGCACAGAATATTTCAAGTAATTTGGCAGTGAGAAGACGAGAGCAGAGAAGTAAGCAAGGGTCAATGTAACAGCATTATTTGATGCCCCAAGGGACTTGGGATTTATCCTGTCCTCAAACTTGTTAGAGCATCAGTTGGAGTGCTTGTTAAACATACAGGTTCCTCGGCTCTACTCTGCATGTAGTGAAACATGGAGAATCATCAAAGTTTTTTTTTTTTTTTGGTGGGGTCGGGGGAGGTTTTGGTGATCACATGGGGTTGCCACGAGTTGGGATCGACTCAATGGTAACTAAGAACAACAACAACAATGGTGGTGATCGGGTGTGGGGGGTAATATAAACAGACTTGCATTTTTGAGAATCCCGCTGGTGGCTGCGTGGGATACTGAATGCTGAGCGTTAAGGGCAGATGCAGAAAGATCACTGAAGAAGTTGTTTGTTACCCAGAAAGAGAAAGAGATGTGGGCCTGGACCAGGATGGTCACAGAAGAGGTGGAGAGAAGAGACAGAGTTGCTAGGTGTTTAGAAATTAAAAATCAGGATTTTAGGAATTAAGAATCAACTGATTCTAACATCTCGCTGGTTCCTTCATTGAGTAATGAGTTAAAATGCTTGACAATGTTCATTATTTTATATTTGTATGAGTCATAATTTTATTTTAAATAATATCCTTTAACAGTCTTGGAGGACATCCACAGGGGGGAGGGGCACCTGACTGAGCTAGGTGAATTTCATTGCCAGAGAAGTGCATCAGCATACCCTGCCCCCACCCAGTTTTCTCTGTGAAATAGAAGTTACTTTGGTCAAAGGTTGTAATTAATGAGTGGTTGAGACTATAACGGAGCCCTGGTGGTACAGTGGTTAAAGAGCTAGGCTGCTAACCAAAAGGTCAGCAGTTCAAGTCCACCAGCTGCTCCTTGGAAACCTTCTTCTCTGTCCTATAGGGTTGCTATGAATCGGAATTGACTCCATGGCAACGGGCTTCGTTTTTTTTGAAACTATACCAGGGTCAATAATGATAGAGAAATACAACTGTGTATGTGCTTTTGTTTTTCAAGGAAAAAAAAGAGTAGTATTGTCCTAAGGCAGCAGTTCTCAAACTTTTTGGTCCGTGGATCCCTTTGCTGTTGTTACGTCCCATCGAGTCAGTTCAGACTCATAGCAACCCTCTGTATAACAGAATGAAATGTTGCTCCGTCCTGTGCCATCCTCACAACAGTAGCTATGCTTCAGCCCATTGTTGCAGCCACTGCCTCAATTTCGTTGAGGGTCTTCCTCTGTTTTGCTGACCCTCTACTTTACCAAGCATGATGTCCTTCTCCAGGGATTAAAACCAAAAAACCAAACCTCCTGTGGAGTCAATTCCGACTCTTAGGATTGGTCCCTCCTAACAACATGTCCAAAGAAAGTGAGACAAAGTCTTGCCATCCATGCGTCTAAACACTTAAAACTCCTTACTGTGGATCCCGAACAGCTTTTAGTTATGTGGGTTATAACTATCAATATATACTACATTACACACTAAAACTGAGAAATTTGTTATACTTATATATTGATTTATTTAAAAATAGAAATGAAAAAGCATTGCATCTTAATATTTTTCAAGGAACATATGGTCACAAGACTTACAAATAAAACCAGGTCTTTTCTGCTTTGCAATTATTAGTTTTTTCTAAACTCTTGAGACACTGTCACCCTTCTCCCACACGAGCTCTATGTACTGCCAGGACTCAAAATCCCTCCCATTCTTTTTCACTGTTGTAGGCTACTTGGTTGTTCCTAGTATCTAAGCAATAGTAAGAAACACAGGTATCTCAAAGCAACTTCTGAACTGGACCTAATGAAAGCTTTCATTATTTCTTACCCACAATTTAGAAAACAAAGAGCCACCTGCCTGTCTGAATCACTGTCATTAAGTGATGGCTGAGAGGACAACTTTGAATGTCAAGGACATACTGGACTAAAAGAGAAAACTTCTCGTAAGCAATTTTCATTTTTAAAAAGATGGTTCTGTCTTTTAGGCTTTCAATCAATGGTGACAGGGATAAGTGACTTGTTCTGAATACAAAAGCCTACCCTAACCACAAGGTCAGAAGGCAGCATTCTTAAGTTGCATGAAGAGCACTTATTTGTCAAGGCCTTTAAAAAGTTTCTCTAGCATAGAAATTCTCTCAGAAGCCACAGGCCTGAGTGTTCTGGTAGGAATTTGAGGGAAGAGAGAGGTTATCTCTTAAGAATTCTAAAAGTAATTTTAAAAGATTGACTTTTTAAACAATCTAAATATAGGAGTGCTGTTATTAACTGCCGACTCGCAGCGACCTTATGTATAACAGAAGGAAACGTTGCCCAGTACTACATCAAGCAATGTTCTGTTATAACGTTTTCATTGGCTGATTTTTGGAAGTAGATCGACAGTCTGGAAGTTCCACTGAAACCTGTTCACCATGGGTGACCCTGCTGGTATTTGAAATACTGGTGGAATAGCTTCCAGCATCACAGCAACATGCAAGCCAGAGTACGACAAACTGACAGACGGGTGGTGGAAATAATGGAAGTAGGGATACTTAATTTCATCAGTCTTACATTAGTAATCGTGTTCAATGTCCTCTATGCCCTTCATTATTCCATTCCTTAGAAAGGTAAAGAATCTACATATACGTTGTAAGAATTCTGATGTTTTTAAAGAGAGAGTCCTAGTGAAAACAAGAGTGTTTAGGGACAAAATTGATGCTGATAACCTGTGGCTTACAAAGTTATTCCTACCAATGCACTTTGGACATAAGCTCAAAGCCTCAGCCATTGAGCAATATTTGACTAGTTAACCAAAAGCATAAAGGACCCAGATAAGCATTTTTAATTCAAATGTTTTGCAATTTACCTGAAGCTTAAGCCTACCTAGTGCTTTGCTGTTGTTGTTAGGTGTCCTTGAGTCGGTTCTGACTCACAAGAACCCATTGTACAACAGAACAAAACACTGCCCAGTCCTGCGCCACCCACACAACCGTTGCTATGTTTGAGCCCATGGCTGCAGTCACTGTGTCAATCCATCTCACTGAGGGTCTTCCTCTTTTTTGCTGACCCTCTTCTTTACCAAGCAGGATGTCCTTGTCCAGGGACTGGTCCCTCCTGATAACATGTCCAAAGTACATGAGATGAAGTCTTGTCAACCTCACTTCTAAGGAGCATTCTGGCTGCACTTCTTCCCAGACAAATTTGTTTGTTCTTCTGGCAGTCCATGGTACATTCAATATTCTTCGCCAACACCATAATTCAAAGGCATCAATTTTTCCGTCTTCCTTATCACAGCCCAGCTTTCGCATGCAAACGAAGAGACTGAAAATATCATGGCTTGGGTAAGGGGCACCTTAGTCCTCAAAGTGACATCTTTGCTTTTTAACACTTTAAAGAGGTCTTTTGCAGCAGACTGGCCCAATGTAATCTGCTGTCTGATTTCGTGACTGTTGCTTCCAAGGGCGCTGATTGTGGATCCAAGTAAAACGAAATCCTTGACAACTTCAATCTTTTGTCTGTTTATCATAATGTTGCTTACTGGTCCAGTTGTATTTTTGCTTTCTTTATGTTGAGGTGTAATCCATACTGAAGGCTGTAGTCTTTGATCTTCATCAGCAAGTACTTCAAGTCCTTTCAGTAAGCAAGGTTGTATCACCTGCATATCACAGGTTGTTAATCAGTTTTCCTCCAATCCTGATACCATGTTGTTCTTCATATAGTCCAGTTTCTTGGATTATTTGCTCAGCATACAGATTGAATAAGTATGGTGAAAGGATACAATTCTGATGCACATCTTTCCTGATTTTAACTATGCAGTATTTCCTTATTCTGTTTGAACAACCATCTCCTGGTCTATGTACAGGTTTCGCATGAGTGCAATGAAGTGTTCCGGAATTCCCACTCTTTGCAATGTTATCCATAATTTGTTATGATTCCACATAGTTGAATGCCTTTGTATAGTCAATAAAACACAGGTAAACATCCTTCTGGTATTCTCTGCTTTCAGCCAAGATCCATTTGACATTAGCAATGATATCCCTTGTTCATTGGCAAATTTTTTTTAGAAGTAGATCACCAAGTCCTTCTTAGTCTGTCTTAGACTGGAAGTTCCACTGAAACCTGTCCACCATGGGTGACCCTGCTGATATTTGAAATACTGTTGGCATAGCTTCCAGCATCACAGCAACACACCAAGTCACTACAGTAGGACAAACTGACAAACGAGTGGTGGACTTAGTGCATTACAGTTTCTATAACGCTTTCCCCCTCACATTCTTATTTTACAATGAGGAGAGGTTGATTAACTTGTCCAAGGTCACAGAGCTAAACACAGCAGAGACAATACTACAGTTTTGACTATCTAACTACTATTATTGTACCACCACTGCACATTGTATGAAGCCTTGGTGGTGCAGTGGTTAAAGTGCTCGGCTGCAAACTGAAAGGTCAGTGGTTCGAACCCACCAGCTGCTCCGTGGAAGAAAGATGTGGCAGTCTGCTTCCGTAAAGATTTACAGCCTTGGAAACCCTATGGGGCATTTCTACCCTCTCCTATAGGGTTGCTATGAGTTGGAATTGATGGCAGTGGGTTTGGTTTGGGTTTTGGTATTGCACACTGTCTTTTCAAACGGTTTCATGGTATTTCCTCACTTACTTCACTACAAATTAAATCAGAACAAAATAATTAAAAACAGGTAATTATAAATCAAAATACATTAGCATAGATATTTTCCTTTCCTCATTGACCTGTGATTAGGTCTGGTCACATGTGACTATGCTTTTATAGCACAGGTCAACAAAAAAAAAGAAAATCTCCCATGTTCAGCACTTTGTTTAAAAATGCACCTGAATTTAGAAAGAGTTCCATTTAAATGACCCACATGTGAAAATTAAATATTTCATAGGATAAATCCTCAGTTTCAGATTACCAATTACCAAGGTTTTATTGTATTAGAAAGAGCTGTTTTTAAAAGAGAAACTTCAAAGGCTTGAGTTTATTTTAAATGTTTTCCATTTTTACCATTTGGCTCTCGCAAAGATCACTTCCCCAGTGGCTGGAGTATAGGTCCTCACCTCACTGTCATCTGAACTGTTCACACTCCTGACCAGATACGGCATCTGTTCTATCAGCCAATCACACATCATTGCTTAAACCTGAGTAGCACGATTGTGAGGATGGCACAGGACCGGGCAGTGTTTCGTTCTGTTGTACACAAGGTTGCTATGAGTTGGAACTGACTCGATAGCACTTAACAACAGCAACAACAGCACTTCTACAGCAGATGCTTAAATATTTTAAGATTTTATTTTTCCTACACATTTAGCACCACTGGGATTCTGCTATTTGTCTAGGATTTGATTTAAGATCCAATATCAAAGTGACATATTTGCTTCTGTAGCATTAATTTAAAAAGTCAGGGTTTAAAATACAAATATTCATGTTGGAAGATATGCCAGGCACTGTTGTAAGAGAAACATAACAATGAACAAAGTGGGTAAGTTCTCTGCATGGAGCTTACATTCTAATGAGGAAGACAGAAAAATGGAGTCAGGCTCTCAAACTGAAAGAATGACTAAAAGGTCACATCCACAGGGATTTTCACCAAGCACTTTAAAATCAAGCTTCAGGCCACCTAGCCAAATCCATAAAGAAAGGGATTATTTTAAGATTATTACAATGGTGAAACAACACTTTCTCTTGCCCACAAATTTTATAGACAACCCTGTCTTTTCTCCAAATTTGTTTTACACATGGTAAAAAAAAAAAACCCATTGCCGTCGAGTTGATTCCCACTCATAGCGACCCGGTAGGACAGAGTGGAACTATCCCACAGGGTTTCCAAGGAGCAGCTGGTGGATTCAAACTGCTGATTTTTTGGTTAGCAGTCAAACATTTAACCACTGCACCACCAGGGCCCTCCCTAATTCTGGTCCACTAAGCAGGCAGGCTTAAAGAGCACACCTTGACAGTAGGCCAAGAAAGGACCAAATCAGACAGAGAAGGAAGTGTAAAGGCCTGGGCAAGACAGCACTGCCAAGAGTGAGGCATTCTGGAAAGGACAGATTGTTCTGCTGTATCATGCGTACATTCAAATTTGAGGCCAAGGCAGGTATAAGAAGCCAAGGCTTTGCTCCTTGTAGTTAATATCTGGTTGGCGTGGTTTGAAGACTCATTGTTACTGCCCACAAGTCAATTCCCACTCATGGAAATCCCAACGTGTGCAGAGTAGAACTGCTCCAAAGGGTTTTCAAGGCTGTGACCTTTCAGATGCAGACTGCCAGGCCTGACATATGAGGTACCTCTGGGTGGGTTTGAACCACCATGCTCTGGGTTACCGCTCAACCGTTAGCACCACCCAGGGGCTCTTTGGTCCCTCATTAGATACTACTTAAGGACACTGCCCTAAATTGGCTTATTAACATCATCAGTTAATTTCCTGGCTCAGGTCTCTACTAAACCAAAATCAAATTAAACCCGTGGCTAAGTCCATTCCAACTCACAGGGACCCTGTAGGACAGAGTAGAATTGACCCACAGGGTTTCCAAGGCTGTAATCTTTACTTAAGCAGACTGCCACATCTTTCTTCTGCGGAGCGGCTGGTGGGCAGTTCAAACCGCTGACCTTTCGGTTAGCAGCCTAACCGACCGCTTTAACCACTAAACAATAGGTCTCCCCTAAACCTGTTGTCCAGTCGATTTTGACTCGTAGCGACCCTACAGAACAGAGCAGAACTGCCCCACAGGGTTTCCAAGGAGCGGCTGGTGGATTCAAACTGCCAACCTTTAGCTAGCAGCCAAGTTCTTGACTACCAGGAGGAGGAAATTACCAGCTAATTTTATGTTCCGTACTTTTCCTCTACAACACTTATCACAGTCTGAAATTACACATTTGTAATTTTCTTGAGTGAACCTGTCCCTCTCTCAGTCTTGTTTACCACTGTATCATCAGTATCTGCTCCCAGTGCCTGGCTCTGAGATACTGGGATTACGAAATATTTACTGAATGAAAGAGCAGAGTGAATTTCGGAATAGGGAGGAAAAATGCGACTTTCCTACAAGACCTCCTAAGAGCTTAAAACCCTTTCCACCAAAGGCCAAACGGCCTGGGGGCCACCGGAGACTTAGGTGACAACACAGACAGGAGGATGCCGCGCGCCAAGGTCACAGGATGCAGAGAGAAAAGCGAGGCCTGGACGCCGGCGCCCGGGTAGCCTTCCTCTTGCGCGCTCCCCTCCCCAGCGCTCATTCGCGGTAGTGGGTTGCCGTCCCGCCGCTCCTCTCGGGCCCTAGAGAGGCCGCGGCGCCCCGCCGCCCCCTAGGGCGCCGGTCAAGGGCAAGCGAGCCCCCGGCGCCGCAACCAACGGGAACGAGGCAGACCCGGCTCCTCAGCCCGCGTGCTCTGCCCTCGCGTTGCCTCATCGCGCGAACTCGGCTGCCCGAGTCCGAATCTCGCGCTGCCGCGTCCCCCCCCCCCCCAGGAGTCCGGGTGCCGCAGAAGGCCATACTCCTTCCCCAGGGGCATGCCTTGGCACACGCTCGCCTGCGGTCCCGGGGGAGGGGAGGGGAGGGTTGTGGGACCTGGGGGTCACTGCGAGGCCCGGATGCTCAATCCTGAGACCCAAGTGCAGGAAAGCGGAGGGAGTGCCAGAGAAGTTGTGTGTGCGTGTGTGCACGCGCGCGTGTGGAGAGGAATGCCGTGGGTCGCCCGCAGCTCGGCGGGGCGGGCCCGTCGAGCTGGCTCAGTCTCCGCATCCTTCCCCGCTTACCTGGCTCTTGAAGAAGCCGCGGCGGCGAGGCCTGGGTGGAAGGCGGCGGCGACCCCGGAGAGGATGCGACTGGAGTGCAGCAGGGCCATGGTGGGCGGCAAGAGGTCAGTGGCTAGCGAAAGGCCGCAGCGAAGGGCAAGCAAGCGGGAGCTAATGCCGCGGCGCGGACTTCTGTTGTAGGTAAGGGCAGCGACTTCGCCGGACGAGGCTAGAGCGGCCGCTCGCCAGGCCCGAGCCACGTCACAGCGGCCCCTGGCGGCCGGACAAGGCCTCGGCTGAGCCACTGCTTCGCCCTCGTTTTCCTTAGTAGGGCCCGGACCACGTAGGCAAACGATGAGAACGCTGTTTATCGTCGCCTGCAGAGTCCCGGATGTTGCTGCGCTGGGTCCTTTACCCATTTCATTCATTTAATCACGACAGATTAAGAAGTAGCTGCTATAATGCCAGTGTGAAAGATAAGAAGACTGACATAGGTGAAGTAATTCGTTCAGCGCCATACAGCCAATAAGGCCCTACATGGCCCACCCTAAACCTTCAGCTTTACTGTTTCCTTAAATGCCAAGTCACCTCACCATCTTCCTAAATGTTCCCTTATCCCTATTATGGAGAAGGGAGTCCTGGTGGAGCAATGGTTAAGCTCTGGGCTGCTAACCGAAAGGCCGGCAGTTTCTGTGGGAGAGAAGACCTGGTGATCTGCTACAGTAAAGATTACAGCCTGGAAAACCCTATGGGGCAGTACTACTCTGTCCTATAGGGTAGCTATGAATCAGAATGACTCCATGGTACACAATAACACTGGAAAAGATAACAGTGCTTACCTCTTGGGGCTGTTGTGAGGATTAAGTGAGATTAGCAGATTATGTCTAAAAATGGCCTGATTTAGTAAACACAAAATAACCATGGTACTTAATGACAAACTCATTTGCCAAATTCTTACAATTGTGTGTAGAGGGAATTAATAAAACTTGAAGGAAAAAGCAGATGAACTTGAGACCACAGAAGCTGAGTGATTCAAACGAGTCCATCTAAATGAAGACTATCTCTCAGATACTCTTCTTTAAAAGGAGCCCTGGTGCTGCAGTAGTTAAAAGCTCAGGCTGTTAACCAAAATGTCTGCGGCTGGAATCCACCAGCCACTCCTTGGAAGCCCTATGAGGCAGTTCTACTCTGCCATTGCGATGAGTCAGAATCCACTGGATGGCAATGGGTTTGGTTTTTGGTTCCTCTCTAAAACCCAGATAGAACGGTGTCCCTTGGTGATTTAATTTATCGTCAGTGGCTCCACACTGCCTGAATGATGAAGTCCAGGCCCCTACCTAGGGTGACATCCTAGGCCCCTCCCAATTTACTGTTTCAGACTTATCTCCTACTTTCTCTCTGACCAGGACCTCTGCCCCAGCCACAAGCCATGATTTGGGATTCCATCACTATCCCCAAGGCCCAGCAATTCACTTCCAGGTGTAGACCCTAGAGACCCTCTCACACTTGTATAAGGATGCCAGTGAATCATTGTTTATAGAAGCAAAACAGGGAAAAACATAGCTGCCCATCAATAGAGAATAGATGACATGTGCTGTTAGAGTCACATGATGGAGCACATTCAGTGGGGAGTTGGGGGAGTGGGCTGCTGCACAGAGGAGCTGGGTCATAGAAAGTTGCCTCTGGGGCTGGGTTTTTCTGCACAGTGGATTACAGTCTCAGGTTTGGAGGAAGGGCTGCAGGAATCTCCTTCCCCATCAGGAAACTTCTTAAAGACAAGATCTAAGATTCTGGTTCCAGAATTGCCAGACCTCTAGGGGTGGGAACATGCCTTGAAAATGTTTGCTGAATTGAAATGAACTGAATTGAATGTCCAAGGAGGATATTGGATATTGGAAGGTGGGGGCAGGCAGTCATGGAGGGTGGGTCAGTGTCCATCAGCAGGTATTTGTCTTCTGTTGTGGGCCCCCAGCTGGCCTGCTTTTTCACAGCCTCCACCACTGCCCCTTGCCATTGGGTGTGGCCGTGTGCTTAAGTGAAGACAGTGGGATGTGAGAGAAAGGATGTATTCCCTTCCAGGCCTGTTATGGTAACCACACACATGTGGTCCTTCATGCCCTTTCTCCTTCCTCGGGCTGGATGCACAGGTTGATGATGAGGCTCTAGGGGCTGGTAGAGCCACAAGATGGAAGGAGCCTGGGTCCCCAAATGACTGCAAGAATGACGGCTGCCCTCCTGACCTGGACACTCAGGACACTTACGTGAGCAAGAAATAAACCTCTGCCATGCTGAGTCATTAAATGTTTGGGTCTATTTCTTGCAGCAGTTTAGACCACCTGAATTAAAACAGGTGTTTCACATGTGTACTTGATGTTGATAGCTAGACATTCTTGATGGAGCCTCCTGTTGGACCTCCTATAGCTGGAGGGACACAACCCCAAGGGAGAAAATGGTCAGAGAAGAGTAGGAAGTGCCTTACAGACTGTGGTAGGCAGAATAATGCTCCCCCCAACCCCCACCAAGATCTCCACAGCCTCATCACTGGAGCCTGTGAATATATTACCTTTTGTGGCAAAAGGGACTTTACAGGTGTGATTAAATTAAGGGGTCTGAGAAGAGGAGATTATCCTGGATTATCTGGGTGGGCCCAATGTAATCTCAAGGATCCTTTAAAAGGGAGGCAGGAGGATCAGAGTCAGAAAAGGAGACGTGATAATGAAAGCAGAGGGAGAGATTGGGAGATGCTAAACTGCAGGCTTTGAAGATAAAGGATGGGACCATGAGCCAAGGAGTGTGGGAAGCCTCGAGAAGCTAGAAAAGGTGAGGAAAGAGATTCTCTCCTAGAGCCTCCAGAAGGAGTGCAGCTCTGCCAGCCCATTTTGGACTTATGACTTTGTTATGGGTTGAATTGAGTCCCTCCAAAATGTGTGTTATAAATCCTGACCCCTTATACTTGTGGATGTAATCCTATTTGGAAATAGAGTTTTCTTTATTTTGTTAATGAGGCCATATCAGTGTACGGTTTTTTTTTAAGCCAATCACTTTTGAGATGCAAAAAAAGCAGATTGGGCACAGAAGCAAGGAAGCATAGATGAAGAAAGATTGGTATCATGGGGAGATCACCAAGGAACTGAGGCAGAGAAACTGAAAGAGACAAAGAGAGCCTTCACCTAGAGCCAGCGCCTGGAATTTGTACTTCTAGCCTCCTAAACTGTGAGAAAATTAATTTCCACTTGTTAAAGCCACCCACTTGTGTATTTTTGTTATAGCAGCACCAAAAAACTAAGATAGACCTTTAGAACAGTAAGCAAATAAATTTGTGTTGTTTTAAGCCACTAAATCTGCAATTTGTTACAGCAGCAAGAGGAAACTAATTCACACACACTTTGTGACAGCTCAATGCAGGATTCTGCACGCTCCTTCCCGCCCCAGGCTCTGGAGCCATGAGGACTGTGGAAGCCTGGGTGGGGGCAGACTTACACGATGGCATCCCTGGGATACCAGCTTTCGACAGGAATGAGTCCTTTGAAGTACTCGATGTAGCACCCCTGCCTGATACTGGTTATTCCAGGAGCAAAGAAAGAGAGTAGGATTGGGTTATGAGTATGTGTGTGTTTGGTACTTCTATTCAGCTGATAGTTCTCATTTACTTTGTGCAGGACTCTGTGCTCAGTACTTAACATGCAGCATGTCGAGGGGTTGCTGCACCTCCTGTCCCTCTATAGATGAGAAAATGGAAGATCACAGATATGAAGTCATTTAGGCATCATCTTCCACATCTGTAAAATGGGTGTGTCTTGATTCCCTTCTGTTCTGCCTCACACTCAGGCTTTTCACCATTCCCATTGCCGTGGAGTCTACTCCAAGTCATAGTGACCCTGTAGGACAGAGTGGAACCACCCCGTAGGATTTCCAAGGCTGTAAATCTTTACGGAAGCAACGGGCATATTAGCCAATAGGCAAGGTAAGCGTGGTGTTTACCTTGCTTACCAGATCATCTATAATGAACAATTTCACATTTTTCTCACCACATCAAATATTCTGCTTCTAGGTATGCCTGGCATCTGTCTCTCTCCCAACCCCACGGCACCTTTGTATAGAATCAAAGATTCTTTTCAAATTTATAATCCTTGACAGGGATGGATGACCCTGTAAGCAAGGTAAGCATGGGCTTACTTGTGCTTATTTACTGATCTGTAGTGTAATTGTACGCTACAAAAAGATGTGGTGAAACCCATGTGAAATTGTTCACTACAGATTAGCAATAAAGCACAGGTAGTAAGCTTGTGCTTACCTTGCTTACGGGATAATCCACCCCTGGGAAGCAGACTGCCACATCGTTCTCCTGCAGAGTGGCTGGTGTGTTCCAACCGCTGACCTTTCAGTTCGCAGCCGAGCGCTTAACTGCTGCACCACCAGGGCTCCTTAGGCTTTTCACCAGAAGAGCCCACATTCCCCTGTCTGTTGGAAATGGGTCATAACAGAAGGAGTGGAAGGTTCTGGACTAGCCCTGGGCTGGTGCTGGCTGTCTGGCAGGAGAGGGGAGCAGAGCAGTGAGCGCCGGTGTGTGCCCAGTGCTGTGCTGGGGGCCTGGGTTGGGCAGACCAGACACAACCTTGCATGTGCTCATATGTGTCAGTTCTAGGAGTCCAGGGTGGAGAGAGGCTGCCTCTGGCTGGGAAACCAGGAGAGGTTGTGTTGAGGCAGCAGCACGAGAGGGGGCCTGGAAGAAAAGGAGGTATTTCAATACCATGATCTACTTCACAGCTCTCAGTGTTGTCCCCCCCACTGACGTGTGTGGGCTTGGGCTCTGGACTATGCAGTCACTTGCCTGGGGCCACACAGGCACCTCTCTTAGAGCCTAGCCTTTCTGATCGTTGGCCTATTGTTTTTTCCATTCAGTTCCACCCCTGCTGGCTGCCAATGCAGGATCTGCCCCGCCCTGCCCTGCGCATGGGGGTGCGAACCAGGGCCCAGAGCCAGCCAGGGATGAGATGTGAGGGCCCGAACATATTCTACACACATACCCAAAATACGTCCTCCTTCCACCTCACCCAAGACCCAACATGCTCATTGCTGAGTCATTCTGACCCATCTACTGATTTCCTTACACCAGAAATCCAAGAGTCATCCTTGATCCGCTTCTCCCTCACCTC